GGACTGATATTGAAGCTGAAACTCCAATACTTTGGCCACCTGATGCGAAGAACTAACTCATTTGAAAAGACCCTGATGCTGGGAAAGATTGAGGGCAGGAGAAGGGGACGAAAGAGGATGAGATGGTTGGATGGCATTACCGACTCAATGGACATGAGTTTGAGTAGACTCTGGGAGTTGGCGATGGACAGGGAGGCCTGGCATGCTGCGGTCCATGGAGTTGCAGAGTCAGACATAACTGAACGACTGAACTGAACTGAACTAACAGTTGGTTTAAGTCCATCCTGTTTAAAATCACTGCTTCACACCACCACCCTTTAACACACAATTCTTTTTTAAAAGATCATCTTAAATTTGCAACTTCCCCCACACTGTCCATCCTAAGCAGAATCAATTTAGTTACTGATTACATGTATTTGCATCATTTCTTTACTAACTCCCTCAAAGCATTGTAGTCGTACATGGATAGAATTCAGTCGTTACATATTTATTATGTAGTGGTGCTAGTGGTAAAGAACCCACCTGTCAATGCAGGAGATCTAAGAGATAAACAGCTAATATTTGTATTAATATTATATATATATTTATACACACACACACACACACACACATAGGGCTTTTCTGATGGCTCAGTGATAAAGAATCCATCTGCCAATGCAGGAGATGGAGGCTAGATCCCTGGGTCAGGAAGATCCCTGGGTCAGGGTTGCAAATGGCAACCCATTTGCGTGTTCTTGCCTGGGAAATCCCGTGGACAGAGGAGCCTGTTGGGCTACAGTCCATAGGGTTGCAAAGGGTCAGACATGATTTAGTGACTAAAGAACAGCAACAAACGTGCTATAATAGGTGTTCAATGTTCTGTGGAAACACATGAAGGAGCGTTTAGTTCTTAGACATAAGTGAGATCAAATGAGCTACAGAGATGCTAAAGGTGAAATTTCAGCTAACCTTGAATGATATAAGTTGGAGTTCATCAGTGAGGCAATGGATAACCAACAAGTTTGTAAAGATAAGAAATTCTCCTTTCCTTAAAAAATCAGCAATGTCCAGTTTTTCAACTTGGAGGCAGGAGGCAGTGATGGCCAGGAGGAAATAATCACTAATATTTGTATTCATGTTATGTATGTATGTATGTATATAGGACTTGTATGTATGTATATAGGACTTCCCTGGTGGTTCAGTGGTAAAGAATCTGTCTGCCAATGCAGGAGACATACTCAGGAGATGCAGGTTCTATCCCTAGTTTGGGAAGATCCCCTGGAGAAGGAAATGGCAATCCACTCCAGTATTCTTGCCTGGGAAATCCCACGGTTAGAGGAGCCTGGCAGGCTACAATCCATGGGGTTGCAAAAGAATCAGACACAACTTAGGGACTAAGGCAACTAAACAACAACAACAATATATGTACATGGAGTATAGGATATGTAGCATTCTACATCTGTTATTTCAATTTAATCCTCAAAACAGTAGGTATTGCCCTTGTACTCATTTTATAAGAAAAGGAACCCTGGGCTCCCCTGCTGGTGTAATGGATAAGAATCTGCCTGCCAGTGCAGGAGACACCAGTTCGATCCCTGGTCCAGGAAAATTCCACATGCCACGGAGCAACTAAGCCCATGTATCGCAGCCGCGGAGCCTGTGCTCCACAGCAAAGGAAGCCACTGCCGCGAGAAGCCCGTGCACTGCAGCGAAGAGCAGCTCCCGCTCCCCACAACGAGAAAGCATGCCCAGAAGCAATGAAAAGCTAGCACAGCCAAAAATAAAAGGAGAAAAAAAACTCTAGTTAAAAAAAATAAGGAACCCTGGGGCAACAAAGTCCCAGATTTTGAACTGAGACATTTTATCTTCATTAACTGCTCTTAATCACTACACTGTTTGAAATGCAATTGGACACGGTGGGGGCGAGGGGAAGGTAGGGTGAACTGGGAAAATAGCGTGGACATGTATAACAGCAGGAAGCTGCTGTTAGCCCAGGGAGCTCAGGCCAGTGCTCTGTAACGCCCTAGAGTGGTGGGGTGGTTGGGAGAGATTCGAGGAGGGGATGTATGCATCCATACAGCTGATTCACTTTATTGTACAGCGGAAACTAACACAATATTGTAAAGCAATTATACTTTAATAAAATAAAATTCAAAAAGTGAAAAGGGCAGGTTTCAAAGCATCTGTGTGTCATGATGCAGAGTGCATCAGGAGGGCCTTTCAGGGACACATGAAGAACAGCTAAGGCGGAAACGTGAAGCGAACTCTGCTCTGTCTCTCTTGCGTTTGCCGACCTCTTATTTCCCGACTGTTTGTCAGAGAGAAGAGGAGCAGCTGAAATCATCTTAGAGTCTGAGGGCGTCTGGGAAGTACATAATGTCGTTAAGACATGAAACAAATAGCAATGTAACTATTTCTCCCAACCTCCAGGTAAAGTTATATCCAAGAATGAAATTAGGAATATTAAAATGTTAGATATAAGATCAATTCCTATCAGTTGGAAGATTACTAGAAAATAACTACTAATAGGTATAGATTTTCTTTGGGGAATGATGAAATGATTCTCACATTAGATAACAGTGATTTTTGCAGAACTCTGTGAATGTACTAAAAACTGCTGAATTATATACTTTAAAGGGTGAATTTTATGTTATGTGAATTTTTTGTTAAAATTCAGTAAAACCCTTATTTTATAAATAAATAAACCTATGCTAGAAATTAAATAATAAATCTGCTTCTATCACAGGTATGAAAACAGAAGAGGGACTTCCCCGGCAGTCTAGTGGTTCAGACTCTGTGCTTCAGTGCAGGGGGTGAAGGTTCCATTCCTAATCAGGAAACTAAATTCCCATACACTTTATGGCAAAAAAAAAAAAAGAAGAAGAAGAAGAAAAGATGAGCCCCTGTTGAAGAGCTAATAAACTGTGACACGCAAAAATTCAACCACGTGTGATGTCTGATAACCAGCCTGTACACTAGCATTTATTCATCCAATAAGTGTTTTGACCACCTGTGTTACAGGTCCTGTGTGCAGTGCTAAGAATATAATGGCAGCAGACGACTTGTTAAGTGACTGCACCGCAGATGGTGACTGGGGGCATGGCATCTAAGGAAGCAGAGTCCAGGAGGGCAAATATTGGCAGAATTTCTTCAGCACATCTAGGGGTGAGGGTACTCTGGCCCACAAACAAATCAATGTAGCAGACTTCCCTGGTGGTCTAGTGGTTAAAAACCGGCCTGCCCATGCAGAGGACACGGTTTTGATCTCTGGTCCGGGAAGATTCCACATGCTAAAGAGCAACTAAGATCATGAGCCACAACTTCTAAGCCTCTGCTCTAGAGCCTGTGTGTTGCAAGAGAAGCCACGCTCCACAACTAGAGAAAGCCCCCATAAAAAAAGTTTGTAGCAAGAATAATAATAAACTTTAATTAAGAGACTTCCCTGGTGGTCCAGTGGCTAAGACTTTGTGCTTCCAATGCAGGGGGCATGGGTTCGATCCCTGGTGGGGAATCTATGATCCCACATGACGCAAAAGGTGACCAATAAAATGAAACAAAAACACCCTGGTGCAGTCAAATAAATAAAATAAATATTAACAACAACCACCAAGAACTTTGTGAAGATGGAAATGGCAACCCACTCCAGTATTTTTGCCTGGGAAATCCCATGGACAGAGGAAACTGGCAGGCTACATTACATGAGATCATAAAGAGTCAGAAACAGCTTAGTGACTAAACAACAACTATACAGATTTTGGATTTCTGTCTTTCAGACCTGTGCAAGAATAAATTTCTATTGTTTTCAGCCAAAAAAACACCTTTAATTAAGCACTTATTCTGTGCCAGCCAGTGTAAGTACCTTATAAAATTATTTAAATTTCAAAACTCTCAGAAAATCATTAAAGATCTGTAATTCCATATTCAAAATCCACAGGGCCAGGCATGTTTCAGAGTTCGGGAAATTTCCGGTTTCAGAAAGGTAAAATGGGGAATTCCCTGGCAGTCTGGTGATTGGGACCCTGCACTTGCACTACCAAGGGCACAGGTTCAATCCCTAGTCCGGGACCTAAGATCCCACAGGCCATGGGGTACGTGGCCAAAACATAAAAATAGAAAAGTAAAATGGTACATATATTAATCACCCATAATCAATATTTCTGGAGTAAAAATGTATACATAGTCTCCAGGATGAGTTTTTAAAAGACCACAAATAACCACACTTCTTTTCAGGTCAGGTTTAGCTGCCATATGAACTACCTCCAAAGTAGTATAGATTACAAGGTTTTTTGGATTTTGGAATCATGAATAATCACTTTTCCCATTTCTCTGATGAAGAAATTGAAGTAAGAGAGGTCAGGTTGCTTGCCCACAGTCATACGGCTTATGAAAGGAAGAGACAGAATTTTAACCCAGGCCATCTGGCTTGAAAACCTTTATTCCTAACTCCACCTGCCCACCCCTGCCAGGTAAATCCTGGCTGTGGACGCAGAGGCTTGTCCTTGGAGACCTGCTACTCAGGACCTTTGGGGTAGAACACCAGGAATTCTGAGAAATCTCAGAATGTATTTTCCTGAAGAGGAGAAACCTGCAAGTCTGAGGCAGTCTAGATCTCACGCTCCTTCTCCACTTCAGACCTCCCTCTGCGGACCCAGAAGACCTGGCTAGAACGGTGCTCTTGCCCTCCTTTAACCGGCAGACTGGAGGTGACTGTGAGCCCCACCGGGCAAAACCCAACCCCGGGCTACAAAGGAGTGTGGACTGTGAGCCTCTGGGAGGGGGGAGAGGGCGGCAGGGCTTTGAGAAGGCCCAGGCAGCGGAAAATGAACTCTCCACAACCTACATGACAATGACCTACAGTGTCCTGCCCATGACCCCCTCACGTTTGAAAGCCATGTTCTAACGTTCTATCTTTAAACCTCTGATCTCCACACCCCACTCCCACCCCCTACTGCCAGGCTTCCGAGCAAGGCCATCAATCCGAAGAGGAATTTCATCTCTGACCTTTGTCCCCAGGCCTGGCGGCCCACACGGGTAACCCACTCTCTCCCAAAGTTGGCCGAGGGACAGCCGAAGCAACCTCGCCTCACATCCCCCACGCTGCACTTTCGTTGACGATGAGGCTTCTGCCAGGTTCTACCTGTAACTGACTTCATCTCTCAAGCTGGAGGTTTGACTGCGCTACCCACTACAGCCAGGGTTCATGCCAGCTGGACACACTTTGCTTCCGGGGCCCCCGGCGGCCGGCAGGGAAGGAGCGGAGACCACAGCTGGAGACCCTGAATCCCGGGGTTGCAGCTCTGTCTCAGGCGCGGAGCTCAAGCAGGCCCCTTGGCGATGATCTGCTCCTTGTTCCTGGCCGTCCTGGTCCTGGCTGCAGCCATGGGGGCCGCTCCCAGAGCTGACAGGCAGTGTCCGGCCTGCGGGGAGCCGGCCTTGGACGTGGAGAGCCACCGGGAGCTGCTGCTTAACCTGGCCAAGAGGCGCATCTTGGCCCAGCTGCGCCTCAGCCGGCGCCCCACCCTGGGCCGGCCGGTGTCCCGAGCTGCCCTGCGGGCTGCGCTGCAGCGCCTCCACGGGCCCCCGCAGGGGGCGCTTCCGGAAGCCGGCGGGGGCCAGGAGTATGACATCATCAGCTTTGCCGAGACAGGTGGGTTCTTGGCCTGTAGATCTTCCCCCAAACTCCATCTCCTCAGGAAGCAAAGAGCTTCCTCCCTGGTATCTAACCTCCGACTTTCTCCCCAAAGCCATCCCAACTCTGGCCTCCCACAGCCTATAGTCTCCTAATCCCAGGCTCCCAACCCCCACCCACCCAAGCGCTCCCTTACAGTTTAGACTTGACCCATGGGCACCTGAGAAGTGGGTACCTTTCACTTCTCTTTGAGACTGCCTACCCCATCTCCCCTGGTTCCTCTCTCTGCAGGCCCCACACACTTCCACAGGCTGTGATGTGAGCCCAACCACTTCCTGAGCCTGGACTCAGGGTCTGGGAACTGCAGAGTCTGTCCCTCCTCTGGCCCCAGGATCCAGTCTGTCTGTACCCCGTCCCCCCCTTCCCCAGATACCTCATTTGGGTAAAAGGTAGAAAAGTGAAAAACTCCGATTACAATTTCGCTCCACTGACTCCTGTCCTCTTGCTTGGTGACTTTGGGTCCACATCAGAACAGGGTCAAAATGGGGCTCAGAAAGGTCTTTAAAGGATAGATCAAAACGGGGGCGGGGGTAGAGAATTTAGTGGGCAGCTGGAGAGAATATCAGGAATTCAGAGACAGGGGGATTCTTTGCTGGTCCAGAGGTTTTGGAGTAGGAAATGGCAGCCCGTTTCATTTTTCTTGCTGGAAAATTTCATGGATGCAGCCTGGTGGGCGGGCTGCAGTCCATGGGGTCACAGACGTGACTGAGCATGCATGCCAGTGGCTTAGGACTCTGCACCCTCATGGCTGAGGGCCCAGGTTCAATCCCTGGCTGAGGAACTGAGATCTTAGATCTCAAAAGCCTCAAGGTGGGGCCAAAAAAAAAAAAAAGAATTCAGAGATAAGATCTGAGAAACAGAACTTAAACAAATGATCTCTCTTGCCTCTGAGCTTCTTGCAAGTTTGTCTTAGGTTTAGAAGGCCCTTCCCAATCCTGGTCCCTTTCCTTTGGTCAGCATTTACTTCCTTCAAGACCCAGCACTCCTATCCTGAAAGCGCCCACCCTGACTTGAGGCTGAGGGGCCCCCTCTCCTGTGGCTCCCATAGCCTCACCCAGAACCTGGACCTTCCTTGTGGAATTGCCTGTTTCCAGGTTTTCTATGAAGTCTGTCTTCCCATAGAATTCAACCCCTTGAGTTCAGGAACTGCCATTTATTCCTCACATTACCACCAGAGACTAGTATGTAGTGGAAATAACTAACACTTATACAATATTTGGGCTTCCCTGGTGGCTCAGTGGTAAAGAACCTGCCTGCAGTGCAAGAGACACACAAGACTGGGGTTCGATCCCTGGGTCGTGAAGATCCCCTGGAGGAGGACATGGCAACCCACTGCAGTATTCTTGCCTGGAGAATCCTATGCACAGAGGAGCCTGGCAGGCTACAATCCATAGGGTTGCAAAGAGTCTGACGTGACTGAAGCGACTAAACACGCACATGTACAATGTTTACAGTGTCCTAAGCCTTTTACAGATACTAACTCCTTAAGAGGCTCTCAAGTCAGGTAGGCAAATACTATTGTTGTCTGTATTTTAGAAGTTATGAAACTGAGGCTCAAAGAGGTTGAGTAGCTAGCTCAAGGTCATATGACCAGTAGGTGGTGGAACCAGACAGCCTAGGTCTCAAATCCATGACCTTGACCATCATACCACTCTGCCTCTTGCAAACAGAGTGGATGCTTGACAAACAACCAAACCATTCTGTAGGTCAGCTTGACCGTGTCTAGAGTCCCCAGTGATGAATGAGACCCTATTCCAGCTCAAAAAAGGGTTTCTGCTCATAATACAGAACACAGACTCTGGAGCCAGATAAACTGGGCTCAAATTCCAGCTCAGCCACTTATTGATATATGTCCTGGGTTGTTGATAGTTTTCTCATTTGCAGAACAGAGATAATGAGAGGGTAGTTGAGAGAACTGAGTGAACTAATTAATGTACTTAGAAAGGATGGGCTTCCCTGGTGGCTCAAAAAGTAAAGAATCTGCCTGCAATGCAGAAGACCCAGGTCAATCCCTGGGTCAGGAAGATCCCTTGAAGAAGGGAATGGCAACCCACCCCAGTATTCTTGACTGGAGAAACCCACGGGCAGAGGAGCCTGGCAGACTGCAGTACGTGGGGTTGCAAAGAGTTGGACACGACTGAGCGACTGACACTTTCACTTTCTTTCACTTAGAAAGGAGAAGGTGTGAGGGAACTTAGAAGACTCAGCTCCTGCCCATAAAAGGTTTAATTGATACTGCTAGGAATAAATTATTTAGAATACAAGGCAGAATGAAATGAATGCTGGATATGGACACAGGTACTTCAGGGCCAGAAGTCAGTCACTGGGCCTGGCAGGACAGGCGAGTCTTTCAGAAGTTTACAAATAGGCTAGATTGCACAGGAAGTCTAACATCAGTGGGTGAAAAATGGTCAACAACATCCTAAACGGAAACACACGGTAAAAATCTGAAGAAATGGACTGCATTTGGAGCTGAAGGCAGTTTGGAGTGGATGAACACAAAGTGGACAGTGGCCATGAAACCTTGAGTCCTTTGAACACCACAATCCTGGTTGTTTTTATTGTTTTTTGCTGTTACCATCCTATCTGCTACTAAGCCTTATGAATTCATTTTGTTCAGTATCTATTTTATTTTTTGTTGCATTGGGCCTTCACTGCTGTGGCTTCTCTTGCTGCAGAGCGCACGCTCCAGGCTTCAGGGGTTGCAGCGCGTGAGCTCAGTCGTTGTGGCTCATGGGCTCCCGAGCGCGGGCTCAGTCACTGCAGCTCGTGGGGCCAGTTGCTCCTCGCGTGTGGGATCTTCCCGGCTCACAGGTCGGATCCCTGTCCCTTGCACTGGCAGGTGGCTTCTTCACCTCTGTGCCTCCTGGTCGGCTTTTCTCACCTTTGTGTCCCTGATGCTTGGCCCAGGTCCTGGCACACTGTGGCAGGAATGACCATTACCAGGTGTTTATTGTACCTGCCTCCTCTCAGTTAATCCTGGCATAAAGTAGACTTTATCATTCCCTGGTCACTCAGACGGCAAAGAATCTGCCTGCAATGCCAGAGACCCAGATTCTATCCCTGGGTCAGGAAGATCCCCTGGAGAGGGAAATGGCAACCCACTCCAGTATTCTAACCTGGAGAATTCCACGGACAGAGGAGCCTGGCAGGCTACAGTCCACGGGGTCACAAAGAGTGGCTAACATTTTATCATTCCCATCTTAGGAATGCAGAAACTGAAACTTGAAGAAGATAATTTACATGGTCAAGGTCATACAGCTTACAAAGGGCAGAATTCAAACACAGTTCTCTCTGACTTTAAAGTCTATATACTTTCCATATTTGCTAATCAATGAATGAATACAACATTTGGGCTGAGGGGGTGTGACCCAAAATGACCTTTGGAACTGAGAATGACTGATCCCTGGATCCTATCTTTTTATATTTAAATATTTTAGTTTCAAGTTTTCATTCCAACTTAAGCTATCATCTCCACCACTGTGTGAAAGAGAAGATCTGAGAGTTGTTCTTGCTAGAGATACAAAGAGAAAGAGCTTGGGGCCCCGGAGAAACCAGGGGAAGAATCTCCAGTGGTGTCCTGACGCTGGCTCAGACTGGTTCTTGAGGCCTGATGGTGAACATCTGCCAGCTGTGCACCTAGTGGTGCCACACTGGCATCTGAAAGTGGCCAGAGTAGGAGAACGTATTCCTCAGAAACTGGCTAACGCTATCAGTCAGCGCCTTTTCCCCCCACTCTGGAATTCAGTTGTTAAATATTTACCAGCACAACACTGCCTTTGACCTAAAAATTCAAGTTATCTGCTTCCCACATACCTAACGTACAATGCTGAGACAGGAATGGAATAACCATAGTAGATACACCTGTTCAAAATGGGAGACAGGGGAGGAAGACGCAGAGCAGTCACTGGTCCATGAAAATTCTACCCTCAGTCTGGAGTTCCTTTGGTTAAGGCCTTTCCCACCATTGCTCTCCTAGGCTTCTAGATCCACTCTCTCAACCTATAGTGCCAGCCCCAGATGTCTTTCCTTTTAAATGAAAAGTGGCCTGTGTTTGCAGCTGAGCAGTTTTTTCAGCCTGCATCTGCCCAAAAGAGTTGGGGGCCTGGAGACCTGGAGACTCCTTTTCATTCTGAGTAATTTCTATCTCTTTTAGTCCAAATTGGTGCTGCTTTCACTATTGAAGTTCTCTTTAACACTCTGTGGGCCTTCTAAATAATAAATTATAGTCTACTCAGTCAGACAAAAGGCCCTCCATTCTATCAAGACAGATGCCTGTCTTTAGGTTACAAGTCAGGGTGTTGGGGGATAAGATTCTTAGAAGCCCTTCTGTCTAGCTGAGAGAATCTATAGAGAAACATCTTACATTTTAGATCTTTGAACTTCCCTGGTGGCCCAGTGATTAAGACTCCATGCTTCCACTGCAGGAGCACTGGTTCCATCCCTGGCTGAGGAACTAGTGTGACCAAGGGAAAAAAAAATCTTAGCAAAGATGTTAGATCCTAACAAAAGGTCTTAGAGCTTACCCTTTACTGTTTTGATCATAACTCTGAAGCCATGTTTTACCTGCAGTGTCCTGGGGTTGATTTTTGCCCTGAGACCATTTCTTAGTTTGAGAACCTTTTGCCAGAGTTGAGGAATGAAGAAATATTTTATTGTTCAATCTAACAAGTCCTGTTGGAAAGTTTTTCTCTAAATTCTGCTTGAACATTGAACAGTTCCTTTTTTAGTTCATCTCACTCTTGAGATGCCTTATCATAGGCAGCTAAAATAAGCCAATTGGCACTTTCAACATTCTGCCCAGAAATATCTTTAGCTAAATTCACAACTTTGTTAGATACCATTTCTAGCTTCCAAGTTACCAGAGATGATAGCCAATACATAACACAGGTTCCCCTTTCTCTAGCTTCCAACAGCGATCCCTTCCCTGTCCTTCCTGCTTCACCAACAGTCTCCCTGCTGTCCTTCCATCCCTGGTCTGCCACCCTGTCCTGAAGCCTGTCTGCATATTTTAAGCCTTCGCTATGGTGTACCCACTTCAGATACTTATTTCTGTGTTAGTTATCCATTATTAGAGCAGATCAGCTCAAACATTGAGGCTTAAAGGAAAAAATCAGTATTTTCTGTGATTTTGTAGTTTGACTGGACTTATTCTGGACAGTTCTTTCACTTGATGTGGGATTGCTGAGGTCATTCAAGTAATTGCGTTCTCAGATAGGGCTAAAATCTCTAGGATGGCCTCTGATCTTCCGAAGTCTCTCTCCACATGGATTCTCACCATTCCATAGTCTAGCCAAAGTGTCTTTAAAGCATTTAGAGGTTTCCTGGACTCCTCTGGCAGTCCAGTAGTTAAGACTCCACACCTCCAATACAGGGGGCGCAGGTTCAATAACCAGTCAGGGAACTAAGGTCCCACATGCAGCCAAATGAAAAGAAGCAATTTAAAATAAAGGTTTCAAAAAAATAAAAAATAAATAAAGGTTTCCTTCCAAGAGGAGGAAGCCTCAAAGTACTTATTAAGTACTTATTAAGCATCTACTTGCACTGTGCTTGCCTACCTCTCGTTGGCCAAATCAAGTCATGGGCCAAGCCCAGAATTAATATGGGAAGGGTTTGCATAAAACTGTGAATATTGGGAGGCGTTGTTCACCGATGGTCAGCGATGTAGAAGTCCACCACAGCCCCTGCTGGTTCTGTGTCTGCGTGCTATGACTGGGGTGACTTAAGAGGTTCTGAAAGGTTAGGGCGCTTAGGGACCTAACAAGAAAAGATTTCCTGAGCCAATCAGACTCTTCTTTTAGGATTTTGGAATTGGAACACTAAAGAATTAGATCACTTAGCTAGCAAGAGCTAAGTTAAAAGTTCTGTAGACTCAGGAGTGGGGGCCACCGTTTAGAGACTTGAGGAAGCTCACAGCGAGGGAAAAGAGGTAGATCCAAAGAAAGAGAAGAAGGGAGTAGACTTCCACAGGGAAACTGAGATGACTGAGATCTTGCAGACTGTCAGAGCTGTCTAGAACAACCATATTCCAGGCTCTACAATTCACACCAAGTCTAGTTGAATTTTAGTTTCTGTTCTTTTATGCCCATGAGCGTATCAGTGACATTCCCACAATAAAGCATTCTTTACTTAAAACAAATTTTAAAAAAGGGTCACTAAGGCCAAAGCATAATGGCATTTAATTGCCTCCTAAAACAGGTGTATTCATCAATAAGTCTTTTTAAACTATGAATTTTATGATCTAGCCTTTTGGAAAATAATTCTGATGTCAGCATAAAATAAGAATGAAAGACCTGACTTCCCTGGCAGTCCGGTGGTTAAGACTTTACCTTTCAACACAGGAGATGGGGATTCAAACCCTGCTCAGGGAATTAAGATCCCACATGCCTCGAAGCTGAAAAACCAAAGCATAAACCAGAAGCTATGTTGTAACAAGTTCAAAACAGACTTTAAAAATGGTTCATTAAGAAAAAAAAGAATTAAAAAAAGAATGAAAAGCCATCCACTCAAAAAGTGTTTATTGAATGCCTATTATGTACCAGGTGCTAGGGATACAGTGGTGAGCCACACAGACACAGTCTGTGCCTTTGTGGAGTTTACATTCTGGCTGGGAGTGGGGATGGGGGAAGAAGCAGGAAGGAGAAGCATATAGTCAACGAATGAACCAAAAAGCCAAGATGATTACAGAGCTTGACAGTGGCTATAAAGACCAGTTAAACAGCATGGCATATTAAAGAGATGAGGGTAAAGTTGAAGGCTGTTTTAGCTAGGTCAGTCAGGGAAGCCCCTCTAAAGAAGCAGATTTGAGCTGAATGGCAAGAAGGAGCCAGTCATTCAACATTCCTGGAAAGACATTCCAGGCAGGGGACATAGCAAGTGCAAAGACCATGAGGTGGGTCCGTGCTTCGTAAGAGTTCAAGGAGCAGGAAAAACCAGCACAGGTAGAATATAGCCATTAAGTGGTGGAATGCCCAATCATGCAAGTTTTCTAGGCTGTGTGTGCACTAAGTTGCCGGAGTTGTGTCTGACTCTGGGTGTCCACGGACCATAGCCCGCCAGGCTCCTCTGTCCATGGATTTCTCTAGGGAAGAATGTCAAGGGGTTTATTTATTCTAACTTTGGCTGTTCTGAGTCTTCACTGCAGTGTGCAGGCTCTTCCTTGTGGTGACTGGGTTTCTCCAGTTGTGGCACTAGGGATTAGCTGCACCACAGCATGTGGGATTTAGCTCCCCGAGGATCAGAGATTGAACTCACGTCCTTTGCATTGGAAGGTGGATTCTTAACCACAGGACCACCAGGGAAGTCCCTGTTAAGGGGTTTAGATTTTATTCAAATAGCAATGGGAAGCCTTTGAAGGGTTTTAGGCTGAGAGGATTAAGCTGATCAGATTTATGCTATAAAAAAATTACTCTGGGACTTCCCTGGTGGTCCAGTGGTTAAGACTCCGTGCTTCAACTGCAGTAGGTGTGAGTTCGATCCCTGGTTAGGGAACTGAGATCCCACATGCCACATAACACAGCCAGAAAAAAAAAAAATTACTCTGACTAATGTGGTTTTGTGGGCAAGAGTGAACCAACCACTTGGCAAGCTTTTGCCATAGTTCAGGAAAAAGATGATTGTGGGTTGAACTAATGTATGGTAGAGGAGGTGGGGTTAAGTGAAATTATATTATGAACTGGAGATATAGTTGACAGGTCTGTCTGCAGATTATTTCAAGGAAGGGAATGAGGGCAAGCAAGACTTTGGTTTAAGCAATACTTTTATAGGGAAGGGGAAGATTGAAGAAGGAACAGGTTTGAGTTGGGGGTTGGGGAGGATAAACCTAGAGTTCTTCTCTGAACTTGAAAAGTTTGAGATAGCATTTGGATATCCTAATGGAATATCAGATCTGCGGCTGGATATACAAGCCTGAGGCTCAGGGAGAGGTCAGGGCCACAGATATAGGTATCTAGGGAGTTATCAGCATATAGATGAAATTGAAAGCCAAGGGAATTGATGGGATCTTTCTGGGAGAGAGTGCAGATAGAGAAGAGAAGGGAGTTGAGGACCTCCAAACATTTAGAGGTCAGGCAAGCTGTCAGCCAAAGAGACCAAGATAGAGCAGCCAGAGTCACGAAAGCCGAGAGAAGGAAATATCTCCAGAAGCAGGGAGTGGTCAACCGTGTCCAACACCTGCTTGAAGTCCAGGTAAGGGGAATATAGAGATGGAACCATCTGGATACGGCAACGTGGAAGGTGTTAGTGATCCTGACAAGAGCAGGAGTGGCGGGGACAGAAATCCAACTAATGTGTTTCAGGAGGTCAGGTGAGAGATGAAGAGGGGAAATCGGGTAACAGGTACAGGAAGAAATGCAGAGCCATTTTTTTTGGTCGAGCTACACAGCATGTGGGATCCTAGTTCCTTGACCAGGAATTGAACCCACACCCCTCGAACTATAAGCATGGAGTCGTAACCACTGGACAGCCAGGTAAGTCCTTATGCCAGTCATCAGAACCACTCTGGTGAGGAACTGGCTGTGGAGAATAAGGGAGGTGATCTTAGGGTTTCTAAAGGTGATAAGCAAAGCAATGGTGTCACCTATTCTAAGAACAGAAAGAGAGGTGTGTGGGGAGGAAAACGACGATTTCTGCATTCCTACAGAATGTGGCAAAATCAAGCAGTTAGAAGTTTAGGCCTGAAGCTTGGTGATTCCCAAGGTGCAAAATGGTCTGGACTGGACTGACAGATTCGGGAATCACCAGCCTAAGGTTTGTGCTGGCTGCCCGCAACCGTGGGTCAGGGCTCCCCTCAGGGTAGAGTAAGAGGAAGTAGGACTTCCCTGGGGGTCCAGTGGTTAAGACCCCGAGCTTCCGCTGTAGGGGGTCGGGTGGGCATGCTCGATCCCTGGTTGGGGAAATAAGGGTTAAAAAAAAAAAGAGGAAAGAAAAGTCAGAGAAAGAAAAGCCAGTAAAGAAAATTAAGCAAAATAATAATAATAATAATAAGCAAAAAAAAGAGAAGGAAAGAAAATTGAGTATCGTGAGAGAGCTGTGAGGAGAGATCTTTAAGAAGGAAAGGGCCCTTAACAAGCCAGGACTGTGGCTGAGAAGGAGCGCGGGGAGGTAGCAGGCGGGACAGACACTCGGGGCAGAATGACGGGGCTTTTCGTGTCCGCAGGCCTCTGCAACACCACCCAGACGCGTCTGGATTTCCACTTCTCCTCTGGCAGCTCAGCTGGCGGCCTGGAGGTCCAGCAGGCCCGCCTCATGTTCTTTGTGCAGCTCCCTCCCAATACCAGCTGCACTCTGAAGGTGAGGGTCCTGGAGCTCAGCCCACGTGACACCAACCTCACCTCGGCCACTCAGCACCTGCTGGAGGTAGACGACAGTGGTTGGCACCAGCTTCTCCTGGGGCCCGAAGCTCAGACTGCCTATAGCCTGGGGCACCTGGCCCTGGAGCTGGCCCCCGAAGGGCAGGTGGCCTGGAGCCCCGTCATCCTGGCGGGGGCTGCGCACAGGCCTTTCGTGACAGCTCGGGTGAGAGTCGGGGGCAAGCACCGGGTTCGCCGTCGAGGCATCGACTGCCAGGGCAGGTCCAGGATGTGCTGTCGACAGGAGTTCTTCGTGGACTTCCGGGAGATCGGGTGGCACGACTGGATCATCCAGCCTGAGGGCTACGCGATGAACTTCTGCACGGGGCACTGCCCCCTGCAGGTGGCGGGCATGCCCGGCATCGCCGCCTCCTTTCACACCTCGGTGCTCAACCTTCTCAAGGCCAGCACGGCTGCCGGCTCCACCGGAGGCGGGTCCTGCTGTGTGCCCACCGTCCGGCGCCCCCTCTCTCTGCTCTACTATGACAGAGACAGCAACATCGTCAAGACTGACATTCCTGACATGGTGGTAGAGGCCTGTGGGTGCAGTTAGTCTGTGGGTACAGGCAGCTGGGGTGGGGGACAGGCAAACACACCCTGACGGAGCCGCTCTTCCTCCATAGTATGGTGTGGCCCTCCTCCTGCCGCTGTCCAGAAGCAACTCGGGGAAATGATCCCCACTTGGATGTGACGAGACCTTCACCTAGGGAGGGCCACTGTGATCTAAGGAGAGCCATTTACCGTCTTCATAATGACCAGCCCCTTTCCTAGAGCAGAGTCCATTCAGCAAGCCCCATGTGCTCAACCGCCACCCCAGGGGCCCTGATGCATCTCCAGCCATGAGCAGGGCCATCTGAGTCCCAGACAGACACCCACAGCCCAACTGCAATCCCGCCCACCATCCCCTGTGCCTCCTGCCCTTTCTACCGCGCGTCCCCCGCTGCAGGATGAGTTGGCCAGCCCCATTCCCTGCTTTTCTGGATCTCCAGACAGTCCCTCCCTTAGATTCACTAAACATTACATCCTCTCTATGTCTTGAGCCCTTTTCCCTAAAGCCTCTCTTGGCATGCCTTCATTCACTCTTTGTCCTTCTCCATTTGGCTCTATACCCTTGGGGGCTGACTCACCTGAGTTCCTTTGGCCTCTGGCTTCCTGCTGAGTTTGACTGGCCTAGCAAACTAGCAAGAATGGAAAGCTCTTACAAGCCAAGAGTGTGGAAGCAGGGATACCAGAACTCGGCGGAGCTGGAGCTGTGGAGGGAGTGGGGAGCTGGACAGGAAGTGTGGGGATATGGACACGGCCACAGTCACACGGAACCATGGAACCTAGGCAGAGGGAGAGGAGTAAGAACCACGCCGGCCTCTGCCTCCTCTTAGCTTTTGATCTGCCTTTTGTGAGCTCCTGATGCTGCAACATCCCTCCTCCGTCCCCTTAACCCTGCCCATACCTCTGAAAAGAGGCCCTTCATTGAGTCTTCTTAGTGATGCAAACATCGACAGCTGAGTGGGTCTTTTATTTCCTGCCAGGACCCTGCCGGGCACACCCCCCCCCCACACCCATGACGCAGAGCCTGCCTGCCCTGCCCACTTTCCTCTCCTAACAGTCTCCTTAGGGCTGAACTTTCTGTCTGTCCCACACATCATGACTCCTCCTTCCCCAGGCTGCCTCCTTTCTTAGGTCCCGTCTTACTTCCTAGAGCCATCCTCACTGGTCTTCCGGCTAATAAAGACCTGGGCTTTACCTGCTCCTGGCCTCCCTCTGTCCTTGCTCCGAGAGATGAGACAGATCCCTGTTCAACCAGCAAGTAGGTGACAACCTGTGGGCATGCACATGGTGGGAGGCAGAGACAAGGCAGCCTTCATTCACTGATCCTCAGGGTTCTCACCAGGAGTCCCGTCTGGGAGATGGAGCTGGCCAAGGGCCACTTGCTTGGGATGGGGAGAAGAAAAGGAAAGTCTGGGGAGAGGAGAGGGAGGCATTGCTCTGAGACTGGGTCTTCTCCAGACCTTTGCCCTCTCCCCCCACCATCCCCCCCGCTTCAGCTGGACAGCCCTGAACCATGGGGTCGATATTGTCTGCAACCCAAGGCCGAGATTGTGCAAGACCCGTGTGTCCTTTGGGAAACGTGATGTCTGTGTTTGTTCAGCATATAACCCCCTCCTATCCAGGTCTGAGGTCCCTGGAAAAGGCACCGTAAAGGAGAAAGTCTGAAAGAGACCTCCTGGAGAAAGGCAAATCTGAGCTGCGGGCTTCGTGAGCAAACGCTTACTCGCTCAGAAGTTCTCTGTCCTTTGACTTTATGAGATCTTCACCTAAGGAGAGACTCTAAGGAAGCCTTCTGGTGCTTGGCCACCCTTTTCCACCACTGTCTCCCACCCCAAATCCAGCCCCTCCCAGATCTCACCACCCTCCTTCCAACTATAGCTTCAGTCCCCAGGGTGAAGACTACGGTGAGGTCAAGTGAGGTACTTGCCTTGGAGACAGAATTTTAAGGGGATGTCAAAAATTCCATCAGTCAAGATAAATAATATTTTAACGCAATATTTTTTAAAAAATCAATGCAAAAATATCCAAGATGAACAGAATAGCAAATTTTAAAATAAACTAAATGTAACAGGAATCAGTATTATTCCTTCTCTTTTTTGGTTCTGCTTTTCACAAAAAAGAAAGAGTGGAATTGTCCTCTTCCCAACCTTTTGCTCCAGCGTTCCCTGGGCCCTGACACTCGGCTCCTCAGGCTTTTCTCTGTAGGCTCCCTCTACTTCCTCACCCACTCTCAAGCCTGTCGCTACCCCCCAGCCCCCAGCCAGGTTGGTGGTAGGGCGGGCCTGTGAGGCAGATGGCTGGGGTATTTATAACCTGGGAGCACTTCTTGGGAAAAGTGACTAAGATGCTAAGAGCGTATTTATAGCTGGCTTCTGACGTAAGCGTCACTGGGGGGGTAGGGGAGGCCAGGCACGGCAGCAAGAGGGTGAGAAGAGCTGGGAATCGGGGCACCTGATGGAGAGCGCAGGGGAGGACTGCGGTCGGCGACTCCCGCAGTCACTTCTGGACGCTCCCTTGACTCCGGCTCACCCACCGGTGAGCCCTCGGAGACAGCGCCACAGGCAGAAGCCTCGCTTTGCAGTTCTAGGGGCCAGACCCCAGGGGGTAGAGAGGGCTGTCACTCACAGACTTGACCGACAGAGAGGGCGCTGGCCGCTGGGGAGAGCCCTGGACAGTGGGACTTGAATATGACTCCAGATCGAGGGAGAAAGGCAGGGCGGAGAGAGGGTCGAGAAGTCTCATTGGCCCCCTCCCCACCACAGGTGCTGCAGCGTGGCACCCATCGCTGCCCTCCATGGCCACGTGGCAGTGATGAGGTCCAAAACCGAACTGACGGTAGCAGTGATGTGGTCCCGATGACAGCCTCGGCTTTCCGGCAGCGGCGAGAGGAGAGAGCTGAGGCACTAGCTTCTCCTTCTTCTGGCGGGGAGGCAGGGTCCCCAGAGCGAGGGGCGAGGAAGCAAGCGCTCTGAATCCCCGCACCAGGCAGAGCAGCCCCTTCCCTGGGGAGCTGGTCAGCGCCGAGTCCTCCGCCGTCCAGCGGCTCAGCACTGCCCCATGGCGGACACTGGCGGTACCGCGCCCCGGCCCCCAAAGCGCCGCCTCTCTTCCCGGTGCCAGAATCTAGCAGTCTCTCTTGAGAGCCCCCAATGGCTGAACAGCCAGGAGACTAACAAACTGGAATAGGGGCCCATTTCCCAAAACACACTCACTTCCTCCAAGCTTCGTGAAGAAACTGGGGCATAAGGAGAAAGGCTGATGACATGAGGCCTTGGTCCTCCCATTTAAAGGCAGTGAGGAGTGTGATAAGGAAGGCTGGGGTTGGGACTCAGGTTGCTATACTGGCCATGTTTTGTTCTTAAAAAGCCCATAAATCTCCCATGTCCCACCACCATTAACTGAGGCTGGCACCACTCCTAGGATACCCCAAATCTAGGCAGCTCTTGGAGTCCCCTGAAAGAGAACCAGTGTCTGGGACAGGCCCTTCCAAGTCTCATGCCCTTCTGCCATCCTTGATGGACTCTGCCCTGATGTAACATTGCATCACCACCACCCCCACCTCTCCAGGTTTCCCCAGACATCACAGCGACATGCCATCCGCCGCCCAGGCTCCAGCCCTCGTCCACGTTGTGCTCCGGTCCAACTGGACTCTGGGCAGCCAGCACAGGCAAGGTCAGGAGGTAACTTCTGTGCCCCATGACACGCCACCTTGGCCTGGGCAAGAGGACTCCATTCCTACCGCCAGCCCCCCGGCCTCTCACCCCTGCCCCAGCCCCACTGCTAGAAGTAAAAAAGAACCGAGCTCTCCTTCTAGCCCAGAAAAATAACCACTGGGGTTCCCAACTGCCTCATGGAAACTGCTGCAACAGTGGAGGCCAGGAGCTAGACTGGAGGTATGGGGGGAAGTGACCTTCCCACCTTGCTCACATGGAGCTCCCTCCCCCGAGCCCCAGACCTTGGGGATTGAGCCTGTGAAATCCTCCTCCTTCTTGCATCATACGTGTCCACATCGCCCCCCACTCCCCCCCCACCCCTACCTCAAGCTCCGTGACCAGGGCCAGATGGTGAAACCTGAGCTCCAGGGGGGAACCTCCACCCACGGCAGGGGCCTGATGGGCAGCACAGCTGGCCAATCCCGGGGCTCAGAGGGTAGGTCTGCCTGCTGACCACTAGGTGAGGGAGCCCTAGGCTGCTGGCTCCAGAGAGGCCCCGGTCAGTAGCCAGATGTGAGCTGCGAGGATCGAACTGGCAGACTGCACTGAACATCGCTACCCATTGGACCATCCACTGTCTGCCTTCCTGAGTTCCAGGCGACAGAGGACAGGTGGCCCTACCCTTGGCCAAGGGTAGGTGTGGCACTGCTGGCTGCAGCCGCCGTGCCCTCCTCATTGGCCTCCACGCAGCCAGACCGGAGGAGCGCCGGCCCTCCGAGCCCCCGACCTGACCCCGGGCCATTCACCAGGACCATGGGGCTCCCCAGTGTCCAGCTCCAGCTGGTGCTGCTGTGGGCACTGGTGTGGGCACAGGTGGCAGGGTCTGCGTGTCCCTCCTGTGGGGGCCCCGCGCTGGCACCCCACCCAGAGCGAGCTCTGGTCCTCAAGCTGGCCAAGCAGCAAATCCTCGAGGGGCTCCAGCTGACCAGTCGGCCCCGGATGACCCATCCTCCACCGCAGGCGGTGCTCACCAGAGCCCTCCGGAGACTGCAGCGGGGAAGAGTGGTTCCAGCGAATGGGGAGCAGGTCATCAGCTTTGCTGTCCTCACAGGTGGGTGAGGGAGAGACAGGCAGAGAGCTGATGGGGCAGGGGACGCAGAAGGGGAGCGTGACAATGACAGCAGGAGCAGAGGGAGCTGGGTCTGGAAGGGAGAGGAGGAACTGCAGCCGGACTGGCCTCGGAGTCCCTGCTTCTTCCGCAGGTGGGAGCTGGGGAGCGCGCTGGGCAGGGCTCTCGGGAGCCTCAGGGGAGAGCATCACCTCCGCCCACATTCTCCAATCCCGTCTCCATCTTTCTGGCAGACTCCTCCACCGCCACCTGCAGCTCCACGCTCGCCTTCCACCTGTCCGCCCCTCGGTCCCACCACCTGTATCATGCTCGCCTGTGGCTATCCGTGCCCGCCACCCTTCCCGGCCCTCTTTCCTTGAGGATTTTCCGATGGGGGGGCAGGAGGAGAGGCCGCGGGTCCCGCGTCCTTCTGGCTGAGCACCGGTTGACAACCCCAGGCTGGCACGCCCTGACTCTGCCCTCTAGCGGATTGAAGCGCGAGGAGTCTGGTGTCTTGAAACTCCGACTGGCCTGCAGTCCCCTAGAAGGCAACTGCACTGTCGCCCCACAGCTCCTGGACATGGCAGGAGAGCAACGGCCCTTCCTAGAACTTAAGACCCGGCCCAAATGGCCTGGGGCAGGCCGCGCCAGGAGGAGGACCCCCAGCTGCGAGCCTGCGACCCCCTTGTGCTGTCGGCGAGAGCATTACGTAGACTTCCGGGAGCTGGGGTGGCGGGACTGGATCCTGCAGCCCGAGGGGTACCGGCTGAATTACTGCGGAGGCCAGTGTCCCCCCCACCTGGCTGGCAGCCCCGGCATCGCCGCCTCCTTCCATTCTGCTGTCTTCAGCCTCCTCAAGGCCAACAGCCCCTGGCCCTTGGGTACTTCCTGCTGTGTCCCTACTGCCCGAAGGCCTCTCTCTCTCCTCTACCTTGACCGTGACGGCAACGTGGTCAAGACAGATGTGCCAGATATGGTGGTAGAGGCCTGTGGCTGCAGCTAGCAAGAGGACCTGGCGGTCCGGAGTGAAGAGATCAACCTAGGGTCCCCAGGCAGAGGGCCTCTGTGGCTGGAGGCATCAGGTTCCTCACCTTCACCTCCACCCCATGGGTCATCTGGCAATATGACTGGATTGACCCCTCTGAGACCCAAATGGGCACTTCTGTGTCCAGTCTCTGGCCCATTTCAGGCTGGTTGATATGTGGGGGAGATGGGGAAAGTGTGTCCTATAAAGGAGTCTATCCAGAAAGCGTGAGTTCCTGCCCTAAGCTGTCCGAGAAGACGGGAGGAAGTGTGGGAAGGAGAGGCAGGGAAAAATCCCTCAGCCTCTCCAGAGAAGAGAAGGTCCTCAAGCAAGGGACGGAAGAAGCAACCAAGAGCCCAGCAGCCTTGGGATGGGGGAGGCGGTCTGGCCAAGGGCGGTGGCTGTGGAAGTGCTAGAAGGCAGGCGCAGCAGGGACCTGGGCAAGGGGCGAGGGGAGGTGTTTAGGAAAGCCCCAGAAATGGGAGTCCAGAGAGAGTGGCGCTAAGCCTGAGAAGTTTTCTGGTTTTTCTCTGGGTCAGGACCCATCGGGGAGGCAAATGTTTATACTTTCCTAATAAAAATGAAGGAAAAAACATCAACAAGTGTGAATCATGAAGGGCTGGGATGATGGTACACAACAATGGTTCTCAGAGTGTGGAACTCCCAGGAGGTCCCTGAGACCCTTTCACATGGTCAAGACTATTTCCACAATGAAATTAAGATGGTACTTGCCTTTTCATTTTCAACATCTCAGTAGTCTAGAGTGAAGTTTTCCAGAAGCTATAGCACATGTGATTACATCATCTTCCTGACATCTTTGTTAATGGGGTGTGTGCTTGTGTATTCTTGGGTTACAGCTTCTTTTTTTCCAGTTTTAATGTCTAGCATGGTAAGTTGATACAAACACATAAACAAAATCTCAATAGTTTTTAAGAGTGTAAAGGGATATTGAAAGCAAACTGTTTGAGAATCGCTGGTCTAGAGCCTTGGATGGGGAGGAGAAAGCAGTGTTCTCTGAAAGAACTCCACTGCAAGGAACATCGCGTGGTCCCTCGTCCAGTCATCATTGATCTTGCCTGACCCTCTGGGTTTAACTGGTGTCTGGGTCAAAGTCATGTGGGGGAGGGAGGTTAAAATAGGGCTCCTTATCTGTCCTCCCACAGTTACTACACATATTTGTCAGGCCTCAGACCCCTGCCTAGTTTCAGCTTTCCCCTTGACCCTCAGACTGAACAGTTAACTAACTGACCCTCCAAACCCAAGGAGGGGTGGTTCTTGGAAGCAGAACTAAGATGTGGGAGGCCTATCTGAGGGGTGATGGAGAAGAAAGAGGCTCCTTCCCCCCACCCATGTCTTCTCCCCTTTCTCCTAAAGAAAACTCAGAGAGACTAAAATAGCTGCCCCTTCCCCTGCATCCGGTAACCATGGCAACACAAGTCCTAAAGAAAGGGCACTCCCCTATCAGACCCCACCACTCCGCAGCAGGAGGCTCTGCCAGTGTCGCCCTCTGTTTCTTTGGGCTTATATGACCCCTCCATGGGCTCCCAGCTGGGCTTTGGTGGGGGGATCTAAGCCTCCCCCATTCTCCTCTGCCTCCAACCAGACTCGGAGAAGGTGTCATGTGCCAGAAGGACCAGCAGAGGGAGCAGGCCGCTTTGCGGAGCAGCAAGAGCGCGGGCAGCGTAGAGGTGCAGAGGTGGCCCAGCCTCCTGAACTTCGAGGCGAAGAAAAGCAGGAGTTCTCGGGGAACGTCTTCGGTCTCAGAGTCCCTTAGTAACGTTGTGCACACAAACCCTGCCCTACACCCAGTGCCGCAGCCGCTGCTCCTGTGTGCTGCCTGGACCCCTTACCTTCCGCCCAGGGCTCCCAACCCAACTCTGTGCCGACCCCCTCATGTTCAGCCCAAAGGCTGAGGCCGGCAGAAAAACTGCAGGATTGTGGAATGCCCAGTTAGCACCAACTAAAGTCGACGATCCTACTTCCAATGTTCTTTTTCCCGGGTGAGTTTTTTGGTCATTCCCTCCGCCCCCCAATCTATTTCTCAATTTGTTTTTTCTGGCTCTGATTCAGGACCTCTTGGTGGGCAGCCGATCCAGGGATCCAGGCCGGGATTTACCACCCACTACCAGCAGGGTGTTCAGCGGGGGGGGGGGGGGGGGGGGGGGGGGGGGCGGTAGGCAGTGTAGGGTCCCTCAAGGGAGGGGGAGGATCCTGGGGGTCCTAGGGGTGCAATAAGCCCGGCACCCCCTCTCTTGCTCCCAGCTACCCCGCCTCATCCTCCAGAACTGCAAGAGGGAGGGACGTGGGAGGGAGGTGAGGGGCGAACGGGAAGAGCGGCGGCGCGCCAGCGGCTAGAGCGAGAAAAAGTTTTTGCAAAAGGGAAAAAAAAAGTTTGCGCTTCTCACGGGTGGTCCCGGCTCGCGGCCCGGCGGGCTGGGCCGGCGGGAGGGCTGGGGGCCAGGTTGGGGGGGTGGGGGTGGCCCCGAGGCTGCGTCGCTGTAGCCCTGTCCGCCCCCCCTCCCCACCGCACACCCCCCAGCCCAGACTCCAGCTCTGGACCGCGCATCCCGAGCCCTGCGCCCAGACGGAGGTGAGAAGGGGGGCAGGCGGGGGACCACCTGGGAGCGGTGGGGGAAGGGACCTCAGGGGATGCTCTACTTGCGAGGGACTCTGCCCGGCCGAGGGGGAGACCCGCGGCGCAGAGGCTAGATAGAGGTGGCAGAGTCTGGGATAAAATACTGGAAAGTTTGGAGAATTTTTTCAAATGTATCTGCCTTTCTCTATCTTTTTTCCTTCTGACAGTCTGTGTGTCTCTGTCTCAGACGACCGTGGGTCTCTTTGTCTGTCTCCGCCTCTCCCATATATTAGAAACATTTCATTTTAATGAGGTTGGGATGAAGAAGTTGAGAGGACGGTTAGCTGGAGGTCTGCGTGGTAGAGAGCGAACCCCAGGTGTGCCTATGAGCGCTGGGCAGGAAGACATCAGAGTTTCTGAAAGGAGGGGACAGGACCACGGGGGGCGGCTGGGCTTGAACCTCTGACCGGTCTTGTGACAGATGGGCTTGCTGGTGCACGTGTTTTGAGGGGAAGGAATTGTCTTCTGGGGTCCGAAGGGGACGGGGGCGGTCAGTCTCTAGTTTAGGCCCGAGAAAGATTCTCCAAGGAATGTGGACTCCTGGGTCCCAAGGGCTGCAGGCAGGGTGCTAAGGAGGAGCAGAGGAGACCTGGTCCTGACCCTCTGACCTCAGGACCACCGGGGCAGCCGAGGGCAGCCACCGGGAGACCCCTACTGGGACGGGGCGGGACCACTGGCCGCTGCCTGACTTTGCATCCCCGTTGGCCCCCCTCCCAACGGGAGCTGGGGACTGAGGCCCCTCCTCTGGCCCAGACCACCCTGCCTGCCCTTGCTCCCCGCTCTGAAGCCTCTTTCAGGCCCCGTGACCCCGAAACAATCCGCCCTGGGCACCTAGCTTTGGGGACAGGATTAGCGAAAGGGAAGCCCAAAGACTGCGGACTGAAGGTTTTCGGGCGCTGGAGGACTGGGGTCTTCATAGGCTAGGTCCTTACGGTCCAGTAGCGGGAGAAGGCCGGACAGTTTCCCAGGGGGAACTTGGAAGGGCCAGCACAAGGTTGGTTTTCCTTGGAGGCGGGGTCGAGATACCCTCCCCCCCCCCCATTATCTCCCAGGCATCCCCTACCAGGGAGTATAGACCCCGCCCTTGACGTCACTAGGGGGTTCCCGGGGGTCTGGAGGGGTTAACCCTTAGGAAGCCAGCGGGGATACCCGGGAACCTAAGGTGTCCTGGCCCCTCCCCCTCGCCAGACACACCTTATTTTATTTACCCTAGTCACTTTCTCTCCGTATAGTTTCTGGATTCTTCTTTTCCACCCACCAAGGGGACTCCCATTCTCCAACAGTGCCCCCCCCACCTCCGCCACGGGCGCCAAAGCCAGCTCTCTGGATACACCGTGGAGAGGAGGGAAGAATGTGTCCCGCCTCTCAATCCAACCCCCCCCCCCCCCCCCCCCCCCCCCCCCCCCCCCCCCCCCCCCCCCCCCCCCCCCCCCCCCCCCCCCCCCCNCCCCCCCCCCCACCTCCGCCGCGGCTCGTCCGACTAGGCTCCCGGGGCGGGCGGGGGAAGCGGAGCCGTCTGCAGCCAGAGCCTGCGGCGGCGACTTGGGTGGGCCGAGGAGGCACGGGGGCGGGGAAGGCGGGACCGGGAGAAGGGGGCGGGGCCGGCTCCTGGGAGTTGGGGAGCGGGGGTGCAAGGGGGGACTCTGGAAAACTGGGAGACACAGAAGATGATTCAGGGCTCCAGCAAGGGAACCCTAGAGCCTTCTGCTCCATCCTGCGCTCTCATCCACACCCCAGAAAACCTTCATTTTCTGTAGCTGGAAAAGTTAGCGAAATATTCCTTTCGCCAGTGTGAAGGGGAGACGTGGGTGGGCTGTGGCACGCGTGGGTGAGGAGGGATATCGCCCCATTTCCATCTCGGTTCCCTTGTGGCTGGACATGGGGGCTGAAAGATGACTGGGTAGGCATGTTTGGGGGAGTCGCTTTAGATTTGGGGGGTCGTTTGCTAGCCCCGGCCTCCTTGGATGAGTCATAGAGGAAGGAGGCGGGAGAAGTGTCCCCTCATCCAGCTGCCAGCCAGCTGTGGCCCCCACCCCCGCCCCCACGTAATGCCAAGGTCGAGTTGGGAGGTCTTGGTTGCTGGACCCGGATCTCCGCTAGTAAAGGAGGAGTTAGGAAGGGTACAGCCCAGGCTGCGGGGATCGGCTGGGTCCTGGGGTCCGGGTTCCGCTCCCCATCTTACCCCGCCCTCACCCTAAATCCCAGCATCCCGGGATCACCCACCGCGCCGGCCGGCCCGCTCCCGGCCGTTCTCCACCCTACCCCGCCCCACCCCACCCTCACTCCCGGGAGACCGGAAAACCCGGGGTGGAGCAGAATCCGGAGCCCGAGGAGAGAAGTGGACAGCGGCACCCTCTCCCGCACTACCTCTCCGCGCTCTAACGGATGATGACTTGTGTGTGAGTGCGCCCACGCATGTGTGTGCTTCTTCTCCCAAAGCTTTGCCTCAAAGTTCCTTTCCTGTTGCTCCAAAACACACCTGAAGAGCTAGGCCAGCGCCCAGACTGAAACCCCCCTGAGTAACACCAGCTTCCATCCTTGCACCAGCAGACCTGGGAGGCTCTCCTCAGAAACTCGCTCCCCTTCCGCACGCAGCTTTCCGCCTCACGGAGCGAAGGGCAGATCTCCTAGCTCTCTCCTGGCCCCGCGAGCCTGCCTGGGCTGTGGCGAGGGCTCCCTCTGCTGGACACGGGAGAGGTTGTAGACCGGCTGTCCGCGGGCAACGGATGGAGAGGCAGAGCGGCCCAGGCTGATCAGCCAGCCCGGAGCTTGAGGTCAGTCACTCCTCCTGAGTTCCCCATCCCATCCCTGAGGGCTGGCCCCGTGGTCAGAAGAAACAGGACCCGGGGTATAAAAAGCACTCGAAACTCCTAGTCACAATTTTAGTCCACAGCACTCCCCCAACACGCTCACACACGCTCTCCATCCAGGCATAGCTCCTCCCCAGTTCCTAAAAAGACCTCCAGGGCTGCCTCTGTCTCAGTGGGACTTCTCTCCTTAACCTCCGTGGCTGAGCAATGCTCGTGTCCACCTGATTCCCCATGGCAGATGTCTCGGAGGTCATCTGCCCCGGCTTCCGGGCCCGAGTGCCTTACCTGACCTTCCGTATTTCCCTCCTGCCCTTGTGACTTGCAGGTCTCCCTTGCCCTCCTGCAGTGACCCCCACACTCTCCTCTGAGACACCATGTTCAACTCGATGACCCCTCCACCAGTCAGGAGCTATGGCGAGCCCTGTTGTCTGCGGCCCCTCCCCAGTCAGGGGGCCCCTGGCATGGGGACAGAAGGTCAGTACACACACCAGTCCCTGGACCTTGACCACTGGCAGATCTCTCACCCAGCCCCAGGGCTCCCTCTTCTATCCCATTCCAGTTTCCCATATACAAGAAGACTTGAGGTCCCATGCCACATGGGATTGGGCCTTACTTGGGGTTTCAAGATGGACTGTGTGCGTCCTTCATTCCCGTGCCCCAGTCCAGCTGTATCTCTTTCCTACGACTGCCAGGTCTGCCCTTCTGTCATCAGACCACCCGCATGCCCGGCCCCCACAGTTATGGGCCAGCCAGAGATGCCAACAGCTGCGCGGAGGGTGAGGCCTCAGGCAACCTGTCTTCCCTTTCTGCCCCTTTGGGATCTGTCCTGAGGAAGAAAGTTGGAGGGCAGGGGATCTACCTTGGAAGAGGAAATGCCTGGAGATGGGATCAAGGAGTCAGAGCATGATCAGGAGGTCACAGATGAGGTCAACAGGACAGAGTCTAGTGTTATTTCTTTTTGCTGAGAGTCAGTCCTCATGGGTTGGATGCATGAGGGGCCTACTCCTTAACCGTATCTGCCTCCCCTATTTCCTGCCCCAGCGCCACTGTTTCCTCCTCCCCGGAGTGCAGTCAAATTGACCAAGAAGCGGGCACTCTCCATCTCACCACTGTCGGATGCCAGCCTGGACCTTCAGACAGTTATCCGCACCTCGCCCAGCTCCCTCGTGGCCTTCATCAACTCACGCTGTGCTTCTCCGGGGGGTTCCTATGGTCACCTCTCCATCGGCACCATGAGGTGCAGACAGCCTCGAGCTAAGAGGCCCCTAAGACCCTGCCAAACCCCATTAGAAGCCTCAAAGCCCTCCAAACCACCGATCCTCTTTGAATCCTTATCGTTTCAAAGGTGTGGAAGTCCTCCTCAGTACTTCCCCTGGGCTGCCTCCACCACTTCCCACAGTCTTCCAGAAACCTTCCAAAGAGCCCAGGAACTCCTAAGGCTTTCTGAGATGACAGTCCTAAGTAATTGCCTCTCCTCCTCCTCCTCCACAGCCCATCTCTGGGATTCTCACCCCAGATGAACCACCAGAAAGGGACCTCGCCTTCTTTTGGGGTCCAGCCCTGTGGTCCCCATGACCCCACGCAAGGTGGGATGATGCCGCATCCTCAGTCCCGGGGACCCCTCCCAACTTGCCAGGTGAGGATCACCTGATTTCCCTCAGTTCAGGGTGGATGGGTGGTGGGCTTTTTTTTTTTTTAGAGGAAAGGCGAAGGAAGAATAGAGGATGTAAAGGTTTTCAGTGCCAGAAAAATAAAGGAGTATGAGTGCTGGGGGTTAACTCCTTGAGGTTCAGTCAGTCTCTTCCAAGTGAGATCCCACCTTTTGCTCACCCCATTCACCAGTGCAGTCTAAGGAGGAAGTCAAACTCAGGGGTTGCAGCTGCTAGGGTGGGACACTCAGGGCTGGAAGACTTGGCTGGGGTCCCTCTTCCTCCCTCCCACTTCTGCCTTCGTCATCCTCACCTTCCTTTGGGAAAGCTGAAGTCTGAGCTGGGTGTGCTGGTTAACAAGTGCCCGGAGGAGCCCTTGGAAGGTGATATGTCCAGTCCCAACTCCATGAGCACACAGGTAATGGGGAGCGGGGAGCTTTACCTCTGGAACCTGATCGAAACAAAAGCTGTCACCAGGTGACCCTGGGGTTTTCTCTCCTACCCTAGGATCCACTGCTGGGGATGCTGGATGGGCGGGAGGACCTGGAGAGAGAAGAGAAGCCTGAGCCTGACTCTGTGTATGAGACTGACTGTCGCTGGGATGGCTGCAGTCAGGAATTCGACTCCCAGGAGCAGCTGGTGCATGTGAGTGCCGGGGGTAACGGGAATGCTGCTGGAGCCTGTAGGACATTCTGGGTGGGACATGGTGGAGTCAGGCTAAGGGCAGGGGGTCAACGACGGAATATCCAGTGGGTAGGCAGAAACTCAGAGGAGCTGCAGCTGTTTAGAAACTTGGAGGAACGGAGATGTGGGCTCTGATCGTCTTCCTGCCTTTTCTTTCCCCGTGACAGGAAGTCATGGCGGGATATGGTGGGGTGGGGAGGTCGAGAGAAGGTCTGTTCTGGATCTCAGGGGCATGGGGAACCTCGGAGAGCCTCTGCGTCTTCTCCCTCAGCACATCAACAGTGAGCACATCCATGGAGAGCGGAAGGAGTTCGTGTGCCATTGGGGGGGCTGCTCCAGGGAGCTGAGGCCCTTCAAAGCCCAGTACATGCTGGTGGTGCACATGCGCAGACACACGGGCGAGAAGCCACATAAGTGCACGGTGAGGCACCCCTCCCCAGGCTCAGGGTCGCTTCCCAGATCAGGGCTCCCCACCGAGGCCGGGGCCAGTCTGACTTCTGCCATCATAGGTCCCTTCCTCCACAAACAAACATTTAAAAATTGTGTTTTATTGACTGCATTGGTATAAAGATGAACATATTGACGTTACATGTTTAGAGCACTTTCTTGGACCTAAAAAGCTACCCCCCCCCGCCTTGTTTTTAAAAGAGATTAAAACATTTTTGTGGGCACCAGACTGTACGGTGGACCTAGGCACTGTGCTCGCAACTTGGCTTACTGCAGAAGCCCTGGCCGGAGGGGGCACACACGCAGGACGGCCCCGTCGTAACACAGGCTGGGATCCCCGGGCAGGGACTGGACCCAGAGCGCTCGCTGCCTCATCGCCACATCCCTGCAGACAGAGTGCCTCCAGCTACTCCTGTCCCCTCAGCTCTTGCCTGCCCTTGTCCCTGAATTTCGGGAATTCTACAGGCCCAGCGCTCTCCCATCTCCCCCTCCTCCCCAGCACTGCACAGCATGTGGGATCTTAGTTCCCCAACCAGGACTGAACTCAAGTCCCCTGCATTAGAAGCAGAGTTTTGGTCACTGGACCACCAGGGGAGTCCCATGCTTGAGTTCTATTTTCTGATGTACGTCCCTTTTGAGGTTCAGGGTTCCGCTAACCTCCATGTCCTTCTGTCTGAGGGACATCCTCTGACCCCATGTCCCCTAGTTTGAGGGGTGCCGGAAGTCATACTCACGCCTGGAGAACCTGAAGACGCACCTGCGGTCACACACTGGTGAGAAGCCATACATGTGTGAGCACGAGGGCTGCAGCAAAGCCTTCAGCAACGCCAGCGACCGAGCCAAGCACCAGAATCGGACCCACTCCAATGAGGTGAATGCCCCACTCCAGAGGCCCTCCCCCCACTTACAGACGCCACCTACTGGGGAGCGTCCCCCGTAAGAAATCCCCTAGCCCAGCACCCACTTCACAGAGGTGAGTTCCCCTCCACCCGTATAATTCCCCTGGAGAACGTCTTTCTGAGACCAAGAATTTCCACTTACCATCCCTCCCCCACCTCTAACCCGTCAAAGGGCTAAGCTAAAACAGACCCATTCTAACTAGGGTACCTTCAACCCCCTGAACTTATGAGGCCTCACAGCCCTGGGTTCATCCCCTCCCCTTTCCCAGGCCTGTCTGTTCTCATCTTCCCCTTGATCCTTTCATCCTTTCCTCCAAGGGCCCTACTCTCCTTCCTTCCTTGGGTGCGATGCGTTCCTCCCCGAGTCCCCTGGTCTTCACTTAACGCCACCGCTTTTCCCCATTTCTTCTGCATTGTCCCGATTTGATCCTTCTTGCCTGCGGTCTTCACTCTCAACAGAAGCCCTACGTGTGTAAGCTGCCTGGCTGCACCAAACGCTACACAGATCCCAGCTCGCTCAGGAAGCATGTCAAGACAGTGCACGGCCCTGATGCCCACGTGACGAAGCGGCACCGCGGGGACGGCCCCCTGCCCCGGGCACCGGCTCCGTCCTCGGTGGAGCCCAAGAGGGAGCGGGACGGCGGCCCCGTCAGGGAGGACAGCAGGCTGGCGGTGCCGGAGGGCGCCACGGTGAGGCCGAGCCCTGCCTCCCTGCCCGCATCTCCCCAGCCCCTTCCCACTGGCCCATCTCCGTCTGTGCTCGTCTCTCTTCTGTGGCTGGTCCCTTAGCCGAGTGTTGCTCCTTAGGCTACCTCAGATCTAGGGATTTTACTGGAGTTCATTAGTGCCTGGGTCCAACAAGCTCACAGAGGAATTATTGTATTATTTTAAGCCTTGTACCAGTATAATTCCAGGTACGCCTCCAAACAACTTCATGACAAAGGAACTTAATCTTGTCACTTTCAGATGAAGAAACCCAGAAAAATTGTCCAGGGTCATAGAGCACAGATTGGAGTTTAGGTAGTCTAGGTTCTTTTCATCAGCAGCTTTCCCCTCATCCACCCGTCTTTCACGGGATCTGCCCTCTCTGCACCTGTAAGCAGTCCCAGGACACAGGCTCTGGTCGCCAAGTGCAGGAGCCGCGGGGAGGGGCAGGGGCGCCACCTTCAGCCTTCCTCCTCCCCACAGAAGCCGCAGCCGAGCCCCGGGGCCCAGTCGTCCTGCAGCAGTGACCACTCCCCAGCAGGCAGCGCGGCCAATACAGACAGCGGTGTGGAGATGGCGGGGAACGCAGCGGGCAGCACGGAGGACCTGTCCAGCTTGGACGAGGGGCCTTGCCTTGCGGGAACTGGGCTGTCTACCCTTCGCCGCCTTGAGAACCTCAGGCTGGACCAGCTACATCAGTTCCGGCCGATGGGGCCCCGGGGCCTGAAACTGCCCAGCTTGCCCCACACCGGTGAGTGATGGGTGTGGGGCGTGGTTGCAGGGCTAAGATCTGGCCTTTCTCTGAGAATGGAAGGAAGAGTTCACCTTTCAGGGCTGCTGTACCATTAGAAAAACGTCCCCTTTCCTCAAGATACTTTTCTTCCATCTATCAGAAAGTTGTTGTCTTTTGAATGTTGTCCCCTATGGTTGTGCAGTGCACAACCTGTAGGACTGTTCGCAGCGACCCCGAATCCCGGGGGACCCAGAAGCAGAAAGGGAACGGGAGAAAGAGGGCAGAGAGCTGAGTGGTTAGAGTTAAGGAGCCTTCCCTGGAATTCCAGGACGAGGCTTCCCCTTGGGGGAGGCAGGGTGAAATGCAGAGGGCTCCCTGGCCAGCCTGTCTTTTCTTGCAGGCACTCCTGGCTCTCGCCGCCTGGGCCCCCCAGCATCTCTTGACCGCCGCAGCAGCAGCTCCAGCAGTGTCAGCTCAGCCTACACTGTCAGCCGCCGCTCCTCCCTTGCCTCCCCTTTCCCCCCTGGCTCCCCACCAGAGAACGGGGCATCCTCTCTGCCTGGCCTCACGCCTGCCCAGCACTACCTGCTCCGGGCCAGATATGCTTCGGCCAGGGGAGGCGGTACCCCACCCACTGCAGCAGCCAGCCTGGATCGGACGGGGGGGCTTCCTGCACCTCCCTGGAGAAGCCGAGCTGAGTATCCAGGATACAACCCCAACGCAGGGGTCGCCCGGAGGGCCAGTGACCCAGCGCGGTCCGTTGACCGCCCTGCCCCAGCCAGAGTCCAGCGGTTCAAGAGTTTGGGCTGTGTCCACAACCCCCCGACAGTGGTAGGAGGACAGAACTTCGATCCCCAACTCCCAACCTCTGTCTACTCACCACAGCCTCCCAGCATCACTGAGAATGTCTCCATGGATACCAGAGGGCTACGGGAGGAGCCAGAGGTTGGGACCTCCATGATGGGTAGTGGTCTGAACCCCTATATGGACTTCCCACCTGCTGACACTCTGGGGTGTGGAGGGCCTGAGGCGGCGGCAGCTGAGCCTTATGGAGCTAGAGGGCCAGGCTCCCTGCCTCTTGGGCCTGGTCCACCCGCCAACTATGGCCCCAACCCCTGTCCCCAGCAGGGTTCCTATTCTGAACCCACCCCAGAAACATGGAGTGAGTTCCCTTCCCACTCTGGGCTCTACTCAGGCCCCAAGGCTCCAGCTGGAGCCTACAGCCAGTGTCCTCGTCTTGAACATTATGGACAAGTGCACGTGAAGCCAGAACAGGGGTGCCCAGTAGGTTCTGACGCCGCAGGACTGCCACCCTGCCTCAATGCCCACCCCAGCGAGGGGCCTCCACGCGCACAGCCTCTGTTCTCCCACTACCCACAGCCTCCCCCTCCCCAGTATCCCCAGTCAGGTGCCTACGCCCAGCCACCTCCTGATTATCTGCCCTCAGAAGCCAGGCCCGGCCTGGACTTCGAGTCCCCCACTCATTCGACAGGACACCTCAAGGCGCAGCTTGTGTGTAATTATGTTCAGTCTCAACAGGAGCTGCTGTGGGAGGGCGGGGGCAGGGGAGACCCCCCGGTCCAAGAACCTCTCTATCACAGTCCCAAGTTTCTGGGGGGTCCCCAGGTCAGCCCGAGCCCTGCCAAGGCCCCAGTGGCCACATATGGACCTGGCTTTGCACCTAACATGCCCAGTCACAAGCCGGGCTCCTATCCAACCCCTTCATGCCATGAAAATCTTGCAGCAGGGGCCAACAAGGCTTCCCATAGGGCAGCAGCGCCACCCCGAGTTCTGCCCCCACTACCAGCTTGCTATGGGCCCCTCAAGGCAGGGGGCACCAACCCCAGCTGCGGCCATCCTGAGGTGGGCAGGCTGGGGGGGGGCCCTGCCTTGTACCCCCCTCCGGAAGGGCAGGTTTGTAACCCTCTGGACTCTCTTGATCTCGACAACACGCAGCTGGACTTCGTGGCTATTCTGGATGAGGCCCAGGGGCTGAGTCCTCCCCCTTCCCAAGATCAGAGGGACACCTCGGGACACACCCCACCTCCCTGTGGACCCCCCAACATGGCTGTGGGCAACATGAGTGTGTTACTGGGATCCCTGCCTGGGGAGACACAGTTCCTCAACTCCAGTGCTTAAGGAGTGGGGGACCACAGATCCACATTTCCTGAGGGGTTGCCATCCCCACCAGGAAGTCTGGAGGAGGAGCCATAGCCCCCTGGGATGCCCCAGGGATGGGAGGGGTGGGCTGGGGCTGTACACAGTCTAAATATACTTAGGGAGGAATTTGATAATGACACTGTTTCCTGATAATAAAGGAACTGCATCAGAAAAAGCCCTGCTTTATAATGTGACTATCTTGGGGGAGGGGTGATGACCAGGAACTAGAGAAGCAGGGGTTAATCCAGCCACCTTCCTCATCCTATCCCAGCCCCCCAGGTCAGACTCACAAAGGTGGAGACGGTCATCTGGGAAACAGGATTTAAAGGGATGTCCTCAAAACAGAACACCCCCCACCCTTGCCCCCACCAAAGGCTACCCAACAGAGATCACTGGAAATACATTTTCTCTTCTTCGCCCCAGTCAGGGAAAGAGTCTGCTGAAGTTGGTGAGCATCAGCTGGACGACCTGCCCAGGGTAGAGGACATGGGCCACTGGGTCCGATGCGTCCTGCTCCGGCCGAAACAGGGTTGGTCCAAACACAATTCCCAGGTTGTGGGGGGTCATGCGGTTCTTGTCTGAGTGTGCTATCACCCTGTGGGCAAAGGCCAAGAGACAGGGCCAGAGTACAGCAGCTTTGCTGCTGCAAATATATCTAACCCATCAAAGGTTTGAGGACGAGTCCACTTTGGGGCCCTTCCATGCAGTGGCTGAAGAAAATCAAGGAGAGAGCCTCTGGGGGGACAGAGCTGAGACCAGTGGAGAAACCTTCAGGATTCAACCTTCAGGTCGCAATCTAGGATATACCCGCCTCTGCCGGACTTCAGAGACTGCCCCGAGAGTCCTCTCTGCTCATCATCTGAGAGGCTTTCATTCAAATGGCTATCGTCTCTCAGAGGTCACTGCCCAGCTCTGCCAAATAAGTCATCCCCACTGTCCCAGTGAAAGACAAAGAGGCAGAAGGAAGGTTAGGTTTTTCCTTATTTCTCTCACAGCATCCCTGGACTTGTCTTGTTCCCTAGTTCCTCATTTGATGCTGACTGAGCAATAAAGGATTTGACCCTGGTAATATGTCCTCTGCACAGAGGGTGCCTATTTCCTCAGTCACCCACTGACCTTAGGTGTTTCCCTACCTTTACCCCATCTGAACACAGAGTCCCGGCTGCAGGCCCCACCCCACCCTCCCCTGACATGAACAAAGATATTCAGTCTTCCTGACCTGCATAAATGCTCCAGGAGGTACCGCAGAGTGTCATGGTTGGGCTTTGGCATTGAGCTTATTAATTCTTGTATTTGAGAGAGGCACTGTTCTGATTCAGTGAGGGCTAGAGAGGAAGAATGACAGGAAGGGCATGGGAGTGAGGTTAGGAAAGGTGTTAGGGCAGAGTGGGTAACCTCAGTATCCTTTCTGGTGCTTGGGGAAGACATCATTAATCGATCGTGACTTTCTTTTTCACTGAGTCCAACTACAATCTTAGAATTCTTTTTAACTCAGCCCTCTAAACACTCACACACACACACACACCTGGAGTGGGCACATTAATTGAAAGTTAGTTACCATCTCTGCACTCAGGCTTGGACAGAAGTGTGGAAGGGAGCCTCCACTCTATCTTTTATCCCTCATGCTTCCCCCCGCCCTCCAACCCATATCAAGGCTATTGCCCAAAGCTCCCAGCCTTTACCAATGGCAGCACGAAAATCAGGCAGCAGTAGTGAGGGCACCAGAGGCTGGGGTAGCTCCCTAAGAAAAAGTTTCAGGGCTCCCGTGATCACATGAATGTCATCCCATTCGGCACTGTCCAAATCTAATCGGCCTTCTGGAAGGATAAGGAGGTACAGAGGGGCTCAGGGCTCCTGAAGGCTTAGAGGGACCCAGAGACTAAGAGGTCAGGCGTTTAGGGAAAGATCCTGGGAAAGCAGGCCACAGAGCACTAGGGGAGTCCACAGTGGGGCAGAGATTGGGATGAGAAAACCAGGAGCAGGACGTGGGGGAGTCGACGGGGAGCAGGGATGGCATGGAGGACTGTTAAAGGTTGGAGGGGCCTTCCATGGAAGTACCTTGTCCTGGCTGTTCCGGAAACATGTACCTCCCATCAGAAGTGATGGCCCGCTCTGCAGCAAGTAAAAGAGATCAAGAGCTAAGACATGTGGCTCCAGCCAGACCTCCCCGGTTCTGCCAGCTCCCTCACTCGGACCTTTGGGTTCTGAGGCATGAAGCTCTTAGTGCGACCACCTGCCCACAGCCTTCTCACCTCTGTCCACCAAGAAGCGAAGCTTCTGGACCACTGCCAAGTTCCCGCTCACCCGGTAAATGCCATCCACATCCAGACCTGGGAGATGAGGCGGGGAGCAGATAAAGATTCTTGATCTACAACGTGTGCTGGTGAGGGTGGAGAGGCAAAGGGCACAGTAGGGCGGGGGAGGCAGGGCGTGGCCGGGGGGAAGGGGGAGGCGTGGGGAAGTGACCTCGCTTGTCCACAGCAGCGACGCAGAGCCGCACAAAGCCGGGCACGGTGTCCCCCTCCCGCTGGCACAGAGACTCCAACTGGCAGCCGAACACCTGGTCTGGGGAGGCACAGAGTGAGGTGGGGAGCCAGTGACTGCGTCACCCACGGAGGCTCTTTCCAGCACAGGTCTTCACCCCAAAGCTGGGATGGCTCTCCTGCCTGCCTGGGCAAGGAGGTACACCCCCTCCCCGTAACAATCAGCTGTAGGGAGCAAGCCGAGGGGAAGTATTGGTCTCAGAAGACCGCTGATCTAGTTCTGGGAAGCTCTACCCTGAGCCTGCTGAAGTTTTCTCATCCAGGAAACAAGCTGATGCCCAGATCCGGAATGTAAACAAAAGTGCTTGCAGAAACACTAAAGCAGGCACGAACGAAGGAGAAGGGTACCAGGCGGTCCAGCCCCCCTCACCTCGGAGCAGACCCCGCTCCTGCAGGGTTTGCAAGGGCGGTCTCTTGGCGATTAGCCGCTTTAGTTTGCTCCGCACGCGGTTCTGCTCTGCTGTTTCGGGACACCGACCTGCGGCAGCAAGTGCAGTGTGAGAGCGGCGGCGGCGGAGGCCCCGAGGAGCGAGGGAAAAGCCCCCAGGCCCGCCCCTTACTGGAGCTCCGGCGGCTGCTGATCCGCAGCAGAGACTTGGACACTGGTTCCAACTCCTCTTCCTCATCCTCCCCGGGGCTCAGCTCCTCCAGCTCAGCAGGTCCCGAGCCGGACAGACGCCCCTCCAGGGGGTTCTCCCGATCCTAGATCCGCACCACAGTGTTAGTCGCCCAGTCGTGTCCGACTCTTTGCGACCCCATGGACTGTAACCCGCCAGGCTCCTCTGTCCGTGCGATTCTCCAGGCAAAAATATTGGAGTGGGTTGCCAAGCCCTCCTCCAGGGGATCTTCCCGACCAAGGGATCAAACCCGGGTCTCCTGCATTGCAGGCAGATTCTTTACCGTCTGTGCCACCTGGGAAGCCGCATGGGCCGAATCAGAGGTGGGAAGAGAACCAGGAGCGACATCTGCACCGCCGCCCCGGCTGCTGGGGTCCCACACCTCCCAGGCACCCCCTCTGCCAGGAGGCTACTGTGTCCCTCATCCGTGACCCCCGAATCCTACAGCTCCTCCTCCACTCCTGCCCGCCCACTCCCACCCCTCTCACCAGGCGCTCGATGACCGCCCGCAGCGCGCTCTGCCAGGCCCGCAGCTCAGCCTCCTGGTCAGACTGCAGCAGGAACTCGTGGCCCGGGACCGTGCGGATCTGAGGGGCCCGCGGGGAAAAGCAGGAGGGGGTCAGAGGGAGGGAGCAAGACAAGCAGGCAGGCCGAGCGGGCTGGTTTTCCCGAGTGGGGAATTAGGGGCGCGCCCTCGGGGCTGGCGCGCACTGGGGCGGGGAATGCGAGGGCGGGCGCTCACGTGCAGCACGTGGCGGCGGCTGGACAGGTGGCGGCCGTGGGCCAGGGCCGCCCCCCGCAGGTCCACGCTGCTCTCGGGCCGGCTACCCGCTGGTCCCTGGCAACGAGGGGGGGAAACTGAGGCCAGGGCGCTGCTCCCCTCACTGCCTCCCTCCCACCCGGAGGCCTGCGGACTGGCGACCTCGCCCGCCCCAGCTCCGCCCCCGCAGCTGGCCTGAGGCGAGTAGAAGGGGTGCCGGAACCCCCCCAGCTCCCCGCTGCGCCCCTGCCTCACACTCACCCAGGCCGTGGAGGGGGCGGTCGGCGGCTGTTCTCGGTAGAACACCAGGCTGTTACCCGCTAATACCACCCAAGAGGGGCCCCAGTTCTTCCTGCAGGGGCGGTGGTAACAGAGCAAAGGTCACTGAGAGTCACATGGGGGAGGGCCTCTCCCAACCCTCCGCGCTACCCGCGAAGCCTCCAGCCCCAGCCCGGGCGGTGTTCCTAGTTCTCACCGGAGCTTGCGCCCGCCCTGGGCGATCTTGGTCATATTGAGCAGGCCCGACTTTTCCACCTCCTGGGAAGCGGCAGGAAGGGCCTCAATAAGTCACCCAGCCCTCCACAGTCACCACGGCTTTCCCCCAGGGGATCTCCCAGGAGTGAGGTCCTTTAAGGTTTGACCAGATCGGTGCTCGGTGAGAGAGGGTACCCAGAGATCACTCAGAAAGAGGAAGGCGTTTCTGAAGCAGCAAGAACTGGGGGCTGGGGCAGGGAGGATCTTGATGTTCACGAGGAAAAGAGACTTACGTGGGGGTCATCTAGGACTGTCGGCAGCGGCCGAGGGCACTGCAAAGATGAAGGCTTGTCGGGGTCCAGCTGGGAGGTGCGTCTGCAGAGGTAGGGTGAACCCTGAGGGAGGGGATTGGAGAAACAGGTGGGGAAACCTTGAACTTAGGAGTTCCTGGCTGTAAGGGGAAGAGGGATGCGGATGTGGGTGTGAGGCAGGGGGTTGCTGGGGTAATGTCTCCAGTAAAGAGAATGTCTCAAGTAAAAGAGAAAGCCTAAAAAGATGGCTTTTCTGAATGTGATCAGGAGGAGGAAGGGATCTCACCTGGGAGTCGAAAAGTTCTGATGTCTTGGGACCAGATTCTACGTCCTTTGGCTGACGTTGCAGGATCCCATTGTCCGTATTCAAGGTCTGTGTCTCCTCCATGGAGCCGGGGTTCTGGGGCGAGGGAAAGGTAAAACTGCACCCGTCCAGACACCACCTCCGTCGGCTCTCAAAGCCCTTCTCACAATTTTTTGATTCCTCTGATCTTTCGAAAGCCCCAGTGAGAAAACATACTACTCTGGGGATCAGGAGGGGAAAGGAGGAGACTCAAGCGACAAGGGACAAGCAGGAGGGAAGGTCTCACCGTCTCTCGGGTTCGAGTGTGGCGTGGGGGCTTCCAGGATTTACAGCCGGTCAGCGAATTTACATAGAAGCAGCGTCCAGAGTTGGGGTCCAAGTGCTGTTCCCAGGCGTCCAGCCTCTGCAGTGGGGGGCATACAGGGCTTGAGGGTGGGGACCGGGGACAGCGGCGAAGGTCCACCAGGTTGCAGTACACAGGGGCCTTTGACATGAGGGTCTGGGGTCTTGCCTACGAGGAAAGGGGGAAGAAAGAGGTTGTTACTCTGCTGGGCCCCTCCCCAGTCTCCTCTAACCCCCCCCCTCCTCTCTCCACCACCATTTTCTCACCACCAGCTCCCGTCTGGGTTGACCCAGGTACTGAGGAGGAAACCCTAGTCCCCAGCAGTTGTTTTTTTTTTCTTGCGTTTTTTTTTTTTTTCTTTGACTCCCTCCCTCACAGTCTGCTTTTCTCCTCACTTCCTGTTGCCAACTTCCCTCCTCCCCCACCCCACCCCCACCGGAGGACCTCAGGAAAGGGGAACAGGCTTTTCTCGAGTGTGGAGGGCGGGGCAGCGTCCCACCCTCATATCCTCCAGAGTAAGAGGGGCCAGAGAGGGGTCAGAGAGTCCTGCTAGCTAGCAGAGTATGAGAGAGGGGCCATTTTTCACCCACTAGTAAGAGAGAGGTAAGGAGCCAAATCTTCAGGAAGATCAAAGGAGTTCCATCTCTAGAGAAAGGAGTTACATCTCTAGAGGAAACTTGCTGGTAACCTGAGCTAGCAAGACAGAACACAGCAAAAAAAAAAAAAGAAAAAAACAACCCTGCACTGGGCCAGGAGTCAGGAGGCTGAGACAGGAGAGCAGAGCTAAGCAGGCCTTTCAGGCCCCCTATCATTTTCTAGTTTCCACATACCCTCAGGATCTTTGCTGCTTGCTGTCCCAGAGCTAGAATTCCATCTCTCATCTCTCGTCTCGTATATTTCAGGGCTGTCTCTTCTTATTCAGATTCAACTCCGTCACTTCCTCAGAGATGCCTCCCTAGGCCAGTCATCCTTCACCACATTTAGCTTCTCGGTAGCACTTATTAGTTTCAAAGGCTATCTTATTTCTGTGTTCATCATCCCCATGGGAATCCCTGGAGGGCAGAGGTTCTGTCTGTTTCCCAGTGTGCCTAGAACTGAGCCCAGCAGTGACAGTTGCTCCAATGAGGTGCTATGACTCACCATGTGGGCATCGGTCTTTGTCAGCAAGTTTTCCTGGGAAAGGGATCTTCCACTTGGTCCTTCCTGGAAGGGCTTCAGGAGGCTGGGCCTCAAGTTGGTAACACTGACACTTCTACACATTTTAGGGGGAAGGGGAGGAGGCTGCTCCCATGTAGCCTGGGCTCTGCCTGGGGGTTCCTGACACAGGTTCATCTCCTCCAGGGAGCCAGGAAATAACTTTGGCCCTGGAAACAGAGAAATGGGAAGAGCTGGCGGCAGGGTCCCCCCAGGGTTCTTGGCTAGGTCCCCCATCCTGGGGGCTCACAGGAAAAGAGCAGGTGGAAAATTACATGAAATCTAGAAGGCTAAAGACTAGGAAGGAGAGGCAATGGGGACACCACGGAGGGGAGGAGTGGGAGTGGAGGGTCAGCAGAAGCTTGGGGAAGGAGATCTTTCCAATAATTCCCAGAAGCCAGGGAGGCAGGAAGGCGATGGGGGAGGACCTACTTACCAGGAGTCCAGAGAGATCGGCTGGGGGTGACAGTCGTTGGGCTGTGGGAAAGGCTAGATTCCTCTATCATGTAGGCAGCTGGGACAAAGACGGGGCGAGAGGTGGATGGTGCTCCCAGGCGCCTTGCCAACCACCAGTCTGAGTTGGTCTTTCGAAGCAGTAGGAACCTGTCTCCTTCAGCCAAAGACACCTGCCGCCCATCTGCCCCCGTGTAAGTGAAGGCATAGAGGGCACAGAGCTGGGACCCCCGAGAAGGGCTTCGGGACCCCAGCCCTAGGTTTCCCCAGGTGCTCGGCCACCACCGGCCGGATAGCATTGCTGTCAATACATCACCTATGGGAAAATGGGGTGATGGAGATCCAGAAAAAGACAGGACTGACCGCTTGCAGGCAGAGAGACATGGTTCTAAGAGCAGTTTGGGGCAGAAGACAAGAACAGAAACCCTGTCATGAGAAGAGACAGTAAGGCAGAAGACCCAAATGGGGGTCAGTAAGAGGTTTTGGGGTCTGAGAAGTCCTGGGTGATGTGTCTGAGGAGGAAGTACACAACTAAGGTGAGAGAGGATGTGGTCAGCAGCGCTGCGAGACCAGCGCGGCAGGAAATCAGAGGAGGGGGTCTAGTTGGGTGATTTTCCTCCAAGTACTTTCCGGGGCCCAACAGAAGATCTAGGGACAGGAGGAGCTGGCCCTGAATGGTGGTGGGACTGTTGAGCTGGACACAGGAAGATGAGAAAGAATCAGGTTTGAGACAGCACACAGGCAAAGAGTTAATGGGTGACAAGACACAAAAATTTGTGACCCTTTATTAAATTTACACAAGGGCCAATATTTCCATTTCTGATGGCCACAGACCTGAAGCTGTGTGCTTCCTGTGCAGATTCAGAAAAACATTAAGACAGAGAAAGAGAGAGCCAGAGAAATAGTAAGATCAAATTGGAGAGAAAGTGGTTAGGAGAAACACAGAGGGGTTCAGTTTGAGGAAAAGGTAAAATCAATTTAGGATGTATTTTGGGGAGCTGAGAAACACTGATATGATCCTTGGTACATAAGCCTCTTGGGTGGGACCCTACTTTAGTGTGTGGGTTCATTCACTCATGCTCTTAACAAGGGTTGGCTGACTACCTCCTGTGTGAAAAGAACAGCGTCAGCTACTGGAGGTAAGAGAAGGGAAGGAGACAGACACAGCCCTTGCCCTCTCAAAGCTTAAAGACAGATATCAACTAATGACATATTAAGTGTATTAATTACAATTGAATCAGGGACTATGGACAGATAGCCCAGGATTCTTTGACTGCTTATGGGGATGGATGGAGGATTAATGTCAGTTTCTCCCTGGTGGAAAGTGGGAACTGATCCCCCACTGTCTATTGCCAGAACTTTAAGCCCCAGAACTTCATGTTTCCTCCTTACCTGATCGCTCCTCTTCTCCCCTTCGCCCAGTTTCTCTACTGCAAGACCCAGGCTTGCTCTCTGGCTCTGGAGACTTGGAGTACGGAGAGCCCCACCCTCTTGGTGACGTCAGAGAGCTAGCTCTCCTCCCCCGACACATGATCTGAGGCCCGGGCTGCCAGGACTGGGATTCTGCCCTGGTGATCTTCTCCTTAGTTTGCTCCACTTTCAACATGTGGAGAACCTTGCCCCTCCACTCTCCCCTCCCACTTCCAAAACAGTGACCAAGGAAATGGCTCCCCAGTCCAGTGCTCTTGCCTGGAGAATCCCAGGGACACAGGAGCCTGGAGGGCTGCAGTCCACGGGGCACAAAGACTTGGACACGACTGAGCGACTAACACGTTTTTCCTTATTCATTTATTCACTCGCCTGGTGGTTGTTAAGTGCTCAAATCTCATCCTCTTCGGCCTTCTCTCCTGCACTTTTTCCTCTTTATTGACTCCTTATCATTAATTTTAATTTTTTTAAATGCATTTCTTTTTTTATTTTATTATTTATTTAACTGACTTTTGGTTGTACTGAGTCTTCATGGCTGCACTTGAGCTTCTTCAGAGTTACAGAGGGCAGGGGCTCCTCTTGGTTGCAGTGCGTGGGCCCCTCACTGCGGGGGCTCCTCTTGGTTGCAGTGCGTGGGCCCCTCACTGCGGGGGCTCCTCTTGGTTGCAGTGCGTGGGCCCCTCACTGCGGGGGCTCCTCTTGGTTGCAGTGCGTGGGCCCCTCACTGCGGGGGCTCCTCTTGGTGCACAGGCTCCAGGTGCCTGAGCGTCAGCAGATGCAGCACTCAGCAGCTGTGGCTCCTGGCTCTAGAGCACAGGCTCAGTAGTTGTGGCACATGGGCTTAGCTGCTCTGAGGGATTTAGAATCCTCCCAGACCAGGGATCAAACCTGTGTCCCTTGCATTGGCTAACAGATTCTTATCCACTGTACTACCAGGGAAACCCTACCATTAGCTTTTAAACATATCAAAGTCTCTCCCACCTTTAGACAAACTTCCCTTCATTTACTGTACTCCCTAGTTGCTACCCTCTCTCTCTCTTCCTTTTCAGAGTCAAATTTCTTGAAACAGCTGCCTACACGTGGAGGTCTCCATTTCCTCTCCCTCATTCCCTCACCTTTGCAAGCTCACTCCTCACAGGGTGTGGCCTGCCTCTGCAGTCCTTGTGTTGCTTGACATTTCAGCAACAGCCAGCACAGCTGACTTTTCTCTCCTACAAACATTGCTGGTGTCCCTCTTACCTTTTTTTTTTTTAGCAATTCCTTCTCTGTTGCATACGGAGAAGGCAATGGCACCCCACTCCAGTCCTCTTGCCTGGAAAATCCCATGGACGGAGGAGCCTGGTGGGTTGCAGTCCATGGGGTCGCAGAGAGTCGGACACGACTGAGCGACTTCTCTTTCTCTCTTCTCTGTTGCATAAGGAACAACTTTGCTTGTTTCTTAAACCCCAGAAGTCTAAGATCCTGTGCCCTTTGCCTTCTATATACCATTGGTGGTCTCAGTCTCTCCCCAGCTCAAATGACCTCCATATTGTCACTGGCACTGTATCTCCAGTCCAGATTTTTCTCTGGAGCTCCAGTCTAATCCATTGTCCACTGAAAAACTCCATTTGGGTTTTTCACAGGCACCACAAACATAGTATGTTCTGAATTGAACTTGTCAGCTTCCCCCACAAACTTGTTTCTCTCGCAGTACCACTATTAAGTTAATTAGTTAATCTTTTGGGGGGGCCACACCATGCGGCTTGTTGGATCTTCACCGACCAGGGACCGAACTGGGGCCATGGCAGTAAAGGCCCAGAATCCCAAAACCTAGGCTACCAGGGAACTCCCAAGTTAAGTTTAAATTTATAAATATTCATTGAATGCTTACTATCATACATACCAGGGCAAGAACGGTATGCTAGGCATTATCAATTAAGATGCCCTCTCTTAGGGAATTCCCTGGTGGTCCAGTGGTTAGGACCCGACCCTTCCACTGCAGGAGGGAGGGCTTCCATCTCTGTTTGGGGAATTAAAATTCTGCATGCTGTGATGCATAGTTAAAAATAAAATTGCTGCCCTCTCTTAATGATTAAAATACAGTGTGATAATCACAATGCCAGGGGAAGCACTACCATCTGCTGGAGCACACAGAGGGTGTACCCAATTGCCCATGTCAGAAATCTAGCAGCCAACCCTAATTGTCTTGTTTCTTCAGCACTCGTATTTAGCTGATTACTAAATCTTTGCAATCTACTTCCTTTAATCCCTATAACTACTGCCTTTTTAAACCCAGATAATATAATTTCTGAGCTAGTCTCCTTGCATATAGTTCTGCTCCTCTCCAGTCCATTCCTGGCACAGTGATGCTTCCAAAACATAAAAATGCCTTGCCACTCCCCTGACTTAACCATTCAAAGGTGTCCCATTTTCCTCAGAGTAAAGTCCAGATTTTACAGTATGGTTTACAGAGACTTTCTCCTGTTAGCCTAGCATTTTCACACTCCCCCCTACAAACTCCATATTCCAGCCACATGCTAATTCCTCACATTCCTAAAATGCATTGAGGTCTCTGGTCCTTTGCATAAGTTGTTCCTTCTGCCTGAAACACTTCCTCTCTCCACTTTCACCAATCTTTATCAGACTAATTCTTACTCATTAGTTAGATCTCAGTTGAAAGGTCCTTTACACAAGAAAGTCTTAACTTCTTAAGAGTCAAGTAGGGGCCCTAACTAGGAGATCCTACAGCAAGCTTTACATTCCCTCATGACTTAATGACCTTAATGACACTTTAAAGGTTATTTGACTTTTCTGACTTCCCAGAAAGTGTGTGAACTCTGCTAAGGTAGAAGCCTATTTTGTGAACAATTGTATCTTCAATGCTTTATATAGCTCAAAGTAACCTCTCTGTAGGGTAGAAAGGTCTCCGCATTTGAAAAATGAAAATACAGCAGCTACCTCACAGTCTGTAACTTAAAAAATAACAATTATTTTCTTAGAACCCAAGATTTTTTTTTTTTTTAGAACCCACGATTTTATGGGGCAGAGACTTGGGCAGGGCTCAGCTGGGTGATTCTTCTGTCCCATGTAGTGTTGACTAGGATCACGTGGTGGTATTCAGCAATCAGATAGATGGTTTGGTCTGGAGAGCTTCACTCACATACCTGACAGCTTGATGAGGATGGATGGAATGCTGGGATCAGCTGGCACTGTCAACCAGCATGTCAACATGACACCACTCCTGCATGGCAATCTCAGAGTGGTAAGACTTCTTACATGGTAGTTCAGTGCTATCAGAGTGTTCCAAGAGGCCTGGGCAGAAGCTGCAAGGCTTCTTATGGCTTAGCTTCAAAAGGCCCAGAACCACCACAGAGCTTTTTGTACTCCTATTAGGTATTAATTAATTTTAAAGGGATTCAAAGATGATTAAGAAGGTCTCTTTCTCAATTACTGATATGTGCTTCCTAGAATAGAATATACTTATTGCCCCTGATGGCTCAGTGGTAAAGAGTCCACGTGACAATGTAGGAGATGTGAATTCTAACCCTGGGTTGGAAAGATCTCCTGGAGAAGGAACTGGCAACCCATTCCAGTATTTTGACTGAGAAATCCCATGGACAGAGGAGCCTGGCAGCTTACAGTCTATGGGGTCACAAAAGAGTTGGACATTGCTTACCAACTAAACAATTGCCCAACTCTTAGCCTTCATAGTCCCCTCAACCTACTTTTCTATATGCATGCTCCCTTCCCTTTAATGAGATTGCCAGTATGCATATGCGCTTCAGACAGGTATTAAATCAATATTTAATAGTCACATTCTCTTTTGTTAATAAGACATCTACATTAATTTTTAATTGTCACTAACGTTAAGTTAAACTTCCCTGGTAGCTCAGACGGTAAAGCGTCTGCCTACAATGCGGGAGACCCGGGTTCGATCCCTGGGATGGGATAGATCCTCTGGAGAAGGAAATGGCAACCCACTCCAGTGCTCTTGCCTGGAAAATCCCATGGACGGAGGAGCGTGGTAGGCTGCAGTCCATGCGGTCTCAAAGAGCTGGACACGACTGAGCGCCTTCGCTGAACGTTAAGTTAGTGTCCCTAACCTAAGTAGCTCGGACAAGACTGAGGGACTAAGCGCACAGCACAATGTAAGTTTACCGTACTCTCAACTCTAGGGTTCTGATTCTTATGAACTCGAATCTACAGTCAGCCATTGCGAGTTGCCTCTGTCATGACAGCGCCACTTCAGCAAGAAGGTGGGGCCCTCGGTTTCCGTCACCGGCCTCTGGCTGCTTTAGAGGATTAAAGTGCGCTGGGCCCTACACGTTAAGGTCTCCTCCGGTCCTCCCATCAATAAAGTGTCGCTCTGGCACCGCGTCTACGGCCTCTCCATCTCTATGACACTCCTTTCCTGTTTTCTAGTGTTGCATGATGGGAGAAACAGATAGCTTTCCGGGAGCCAGGCCAGGGGAACGGCTTCATTCGGGACTCCATTTCCCGGCGTGCCTCGCGGCGGTCGGTCCGCCCTCGCCAGAGGGAGACCGGTTCCGGTTGCATCAGCGTGGGGTCCGCGGCGAAATGAGGCTGTTCGTGAGTGAGGGCGCTCCGGGGAGTCTGCCTGTGCTGGCAGCGGCCGGGAGGGCCCAGGGCAGAGCGGAGCTGCTCATCAGCACTGTAGGCCCAGAAGGTAGTCGGGCTGGTGCTGATGGGCGGTGGATGAGACGGGCGGGACCGGAACACGCAGACGACGACCCCACAGTTGTCTTCGCCAGCACTCCAGGCCCCAACACCACGCACTGCCGCCAGCCTTCTCCCGCGTTATGCTTCAGCACCCCTTACCTTCCTCCTTCCCAGTGACATCTTCCATCTTCCCTTCATTCGCCTCAGTGTGCCCTTCTCTCATCTCTGGTCTCCCCTCCGTCTCCCAGGACCTCGTCTCACTCCAGTGACCCTCTTTCCCCTCTCCAGCCTTCTCCCACACCTGCTCGGTACCCTCCCCACCCGTCCTTCATATGCTAACCCCCAGCTTTTCCTAGGAAAGCCTCCTTTTCTCTCCTGAGCGCACAGTCACACGCACTCCCTTCGCTTTACCTCTCTCATTCCCAGCCATCTGTCTGTGTGGCTCCCAAGCGGTTCTCTTGTCAGACCTCCCAGTTCTCTTAATTTTGTTCTCCCGAGGTAGCTAAGATCATTTTCAGATATGCTTGTGCTCAGGCTGTCAGGCGTGTCCAACTCTTTATGACCCTATGGATTATAGCCTG